CTAACGGTTGAAGAATCGATGGCCAAGCTCGAAGATCGCGCGCACCCACGAAGGCGTCGATGGTGAAGTTGACGGAAACGTTGAGCCACTGTTCGTCGCGACAGATTTTCTCTCCCAGAAACACGAGGGTAGATAACCGTGCAACGATGTATGGTATCTCCATGGCGAAGCTGACCGGGGTCCATGCTGTGGGCCGCTATGGTCAGTGTTGAGCAGTCCATCTGAGGGGGAGAGCACATACCGTCACTTTTGGGAAGCTTTTCTCGTAACACAGCACTGGTTTCCTTCGATAAAGGACTCACGAGTTGACCTGGGTTTGTTCTAGCGGTGCCACATGCTGACATGGAGCGTCACTTACCGAGAGAATGGGTCAGGCGCTTGTTGATCACATCCATTTGAATCGGCTCTACCTTCTCAAAGACTTCGAAGCCGGGAATTTTGGATCCAAAAAAGAACTGCTCAGATATGACTTAGATCAGGTCGACCAGCATTATTCCATAAGGGTAGGGACTACCTTCTTGTTCGCTTCGTCAAAGCTGAGATGCGGGTGGTTCTTGACCTCATCCACGAGGCTGGGGTGGAGCACCACGGTTGGATCGGAGGCTGCGACCAGTTGAAAGACCTTTCTGCCCTATATCGAGTCCCTATTAGCGTGTGGTACAGCCCGGCTGTGAGAGCTCCAGATGGACCCTGTTTGGCTTGGGCTGAACAATGCACGAACCTGACTGAACCCCTCTGCGAAGAGCTCCTTAGCGGATGCCACGAATCGCTGCTTAGCCTTGCTGTTCGAGAGCTCCCATCTACTTTTTCCGATCAAGGGAATGTTTTGGTAAGGAAAGCTTTCAGTGGACTCATGATAGAACCTCGACACAATGGCCAAGAATAGGGCCACGACTGCGCCTTGCAGCAGATGGTAGCTTTCCAGCTGCTCGATGATGAAAGCCATTGTTGGCTGACTGACTGGCTGACGGACATTTGACAAAACGAGGGGTGGTGACGAGGTTTAAATAAGAGGATGCTTCGAGTTGTCATCTGTTCCTCGAGCACCGATCTTACCCCTTCTTGGTAGCCTGGGCAGGCTGCTTGCCAGGGATGAAATTGTCAATCATGCGTAGTCCACTGATTCCACCATAAAAGCCCGTCGATAGGGGTGTCAGACCCGGGTGCGAAAGCTTCAAAGTCACCGTAGACTCTGTCTAGGACTGGATCCACTTGATACGCCCAATACGTTGAAGACATCGAGCCAGATTGGTTCCTATGCCGTTGCAATGGCAAGTCAGCGATTGGTCGCTGATTGGAGCACGACAGATGAGCTATGGTCAAATCGGATGAAAGACTGACAGGCGCTGGGGAATTCGTCCAAAATTGTTCCAAAGATTCGATAAAACTCAATGATAGGCGCGGGGACTACCTAGCAGGGCAAGTTGGATATGCGGCGGTTGGAGATCCTCGACCCAGACTTTGGTCACTTTGGTGTTGGAGTCGGACTTTGAGTTTGGGATTGAAATTGGAGCTGGAATATCATGAAATGAGGCTCGGTGAATGGGCACAAAGAAGTAAGAATAGAGTGAGATTAGACAAGCTGTTATTATAGGTAAGTTACTGTAGGTAGAAAGGTAATTAGATAGGTACGGTACCTGATGGTTTACGATGAGTACGGAGTATGCCAGGCGTGTGGGAGAAAAGCGGGTCTGGCCGTAGTGACATTATCGAAAGAGTCCCAGGTTATTTGACCGTTCGTGTGGAGAGATAGTCCGATGTGGATCCGTCCATGAAAGGATCCAGCCTGGAGGATGAAAGGAACGTGCGATGCGGTCGATCGCGTACTCGAATACGGCGTACGTCCGCCGTCGACTAGTAGCTTCTTTCGTCCCGCTATTTCTTGCTCTCCCCAACCCAACTAACCGCAGACTCGGCACGACGACCCCCAAGATTAAAGGCCCCAATCTGAATCAAACCTAGACTCTAATCAATTGTTCTAAGGACCTGACATGAATTGCTCGATGTCAGCAACAACGCCAGGCTTGGAACCTGTTCACGAACTGACCAGTGGACGGGCTTGCAGGGAGGAACAGTGGATGCTGTCGTCTCTGGCCTACTCCAAGCATCAAGAGACATGCCCATGGTTTATTTCTAGCCTGGTCAGGCCAACACACCACACTTTATTCAAACGGACTGAACTCGGCATCTGTGGGGATTTCCTTGGTTGTTGTTGTTGTTGACCGAGATGATCATCTACTGCCCTCAGCTGTTGCTACCGGCAGGTGAAGAGGACATAGATGGAGCCGACGTACGAGACCACAAACCGATGCAAACCCCGCGTTATCCACGCAATCCATATACATGCGGTATAATAGGAGTACCTTGGCAGCTGACTATAAAGCTAATACAAGCTCAACTCTCACCAGCAACGTGAGGGTAGGATAATTCTTGACGCAGATCTACTTTGCCATTGATACTCTCCCGGGTCACACTTTCAGACTGAATCATGGCCTCTCTCTCGCTGAGACAATTCCTCGAGTACATCCAAGCCTTCAATGCTAAAGACTACCAGAAACAGCACTCCTTATACCACTCAGATGTCCGTCTTGTCATTCCCGACCCGGAGGTGGGAACCCTCGTGGGGTCCGCAGGTATCATGAATCACTATGCTATACTTCAAGCCACCGCGGAGGAGGATGTCGTTCCCATGCTGGTCATGATTGACCAAGGGCACAGTTTCTTCGTGATGGAGACATATTTCCGCTACGTGCAGGCCACAGACCATGCTGTCCACGGCTACTACAAGGCACAAGCCGGAGGTGTGATCAAAGTCACCGTGTGGGCACTGTACGACATGGACAGTGGAAAGATAAAGCATATAACTTGCAACGGGTTCAACCATGAGTTTCTTGGCAAGGTGGATGTGGATCAACGGATCCACGAGAGCTGGAGTCGAGCAGACAGTACGGTCAAGCGTTGCTGGGGTTCTGCTTCGCTGCTCTAGAAAGTATCCAAACCCGGACTAACTGACGGGACATAATAATCTCATATATCATCCATCCTCATATTAATACACTTCCCACCATAGTATACACATCATCATCTCAACCTACAAGCCCCAAACACAATGAGCAAGCCATCATCACGACCCACAAACCAACCCCTCCCTCTGATAATCTCGAAACACATCCTCCGGCGACCCCTCCGCCGTGCCCAACCTCTGAAACCCTTTACGCGTCGACTCTTTTCTATCTGTCTTCTTCTTCTTCTTCTTCGGTGACATCCAACCCTTCGGACTGTTCATCGCCGACGCAGCCGTCGCAAACTGCAGCCGCCGCCGCACCCGCGACGCCAGCCCGAGCTTTTTGGCCGTAGCCTTGCGGGAGACGATCTCCACGCACGGCGACGACTCCTCCTCTGTTTGTTCTTCGTCGTCGTCATCATTATCATTCTCGTCCTCAGCGCACAGCGTGTGTCGCTGCTGGTGAGTGAATGAGATGCTCTCCGGTAGGTAGATTCTATGGTGGTGGGTTGTGGAACCGGACGCTGTGCGCAACTGTTGGTGGCTTAGGAGCGGCTTTCTGTACGAGCTGCTGCTCTTCCGGGATCGGGGTTGTGTGACTGCTGCTGCCGCTGGGGTGGGACACAGGGAGTGTTGTTGCTGGGCGAGCTGTTTCTTGGAGGTTTTGGTCTTGATGGGGCTGAATCGTTTGCGGCCTGGGGGCTGAGTTGTTGAATGGGTCAGTGTCTTCTTGTGAAGTCTAAGAAGGGTGGATGTTTGTTGAATAGCGAAGTTGCGCCGTAAGCTGCAACCTGTATAGTTTCCGTACCGGGTTCGGTGGTGTCTCCGGGAGACCACGCATAAAGCAGCCGTCCTCATCATGAAGGCGGGACGGTTTCGCCTTACTGGGCGAGGATTTGAAGGGCGAGCTGACCCTCATGGTTGTCGGACGGCGGGGGATCTCTGGTCTGGTTGCCTGCGGTAGTGGGTGAGATGTCTTGGAATGTGTAGAAGTCGGTGGGGGCACATGGTGGTGCTATTGTATAAGACCTTGATGACAGAACACAAATCCAAAAACGGCGGGCAGACTGCGTCGAACGGGCCTCCTTGCTAAATACTTGCTCTGGGGGTGTCTGGGCCATTCTTGGGATGTTGTTGTGGCATAAGATTGCATTTCGAGAGGAATGTAAATAATGCAAGTCGGCTTTGGGTCGGGCTCTGGCCGTGGATTGGGTTCAGGATACTTGGATACTGGAGGAAGAATGGACTTGGAGATAGTGATGAGTACGTGATGCATGCTTTTCATTATCTCTGAATATAATAGCTGACGGTTCATTTGACTGAAGTCTGCGACGCATTGGACCGGACACTTGTCAAATCAGTTGTTGGCATTCCTCGCAGATCCAAAGCATGGTGTTCAAGTCAATAGACCCCGCATTCTCCAGATGAAAGAACCGGCCAAACTGTCTCGGTTCAATTATGCAATCCTTACTGAACGAGCTAGGTGAGGAGATGCCTCTTCTATAGTAGGTAGCTATCGCGTTGTCCACGGTGCTACTGTTTCCCTCGCAGATGGCCCACGTTTGCAGTGGATAGATACATTATTGAATCAATTGATGGTAAGAACACTGTCAGTGATTATATAGTAACTTGGGTATAAATCAGTCATCCTGTAACAGCTAGTGGTCGCAAACACTTGTGGTATATGAGTCTTTAGTCGGAAACTATGGTCTTAATTCGGACAGGCTCCGCCGCGGACTGACAAGCTCAATGCTGTTCAACTAGGGAGATATACATATAAGCATTCAAGCTCTTGGACTCTGACATTCATCCTAAACCCTTCTTATCTCGAATTATTTTGTGGTAGCAGACATCTCATGGAGCGATAGCCAATCATTTAAGTCCCGTGAACGATTACATCAAGATGAACCGATGGTGGCAACATGACGTGCAAGTTGCTTTGCTTGTCAGATCCCGGTATAGCTCCTCGTACAAATAGTATCTTGAACCCAGAAAGTCCGAACCGAACAATATCCCATGTTGATGATTTCATTGAATTAGCCGGCGATAACTTGTGTTCGCAACCTCTCACACCTTGTTCCTCTACAATCCTACACCCGACTAAGTATATATCACTATCCGCTACCTCATCCTCAAACCCAAACCAACCCAACCCCCCAACAAAATGACCGAAACAAGCCCCATCTACAACCTCATAGCCGCCATGGATGCCGAAGACGAAGCTACCGCCTACAACACCACCGCCGTCCCGGACGACGCAACAACAGACTACGGCGCCCGCGCCGTCCGCAGCGCCGCCATGTCCGCAGACGAGGACGACGAAGCCCGCCTTGCGGACCATGTCTCCGTCCAGGACTCTGCCCCAGGAGGTGGCCGGTACCAGCCTTCTGCGTACGACGACGCCCCACCGGAGGAGCAGGTGGTGTCGCATCGTCATCGGCAGGAGACGGCGACGGCTGGGGGCGGGTATCAGTTGCGAGAGGTGGAGGAGCGGGCGGATGGGTCGAGGCGCGTGCATCGCGAGTATGAGGATCCGGCGACCGGGGTGACTTATGTACGGGATTTGAATGGGTGATGGTTCTCTTCTGGGGATCGGGGGGCGGATGTGGGAGTGGCTCTTGGGCAAGGGGTTTAGAGTATGGTATAGCATTTGACAGGTTGCAGAATAATGTCGGGTATAGGATCACACGCCGTGCATGAAGGGACGTTTGAACTTTCAGTAAAAGCTCACTAGAATGGGAATTCGGGGTCTGTGGTGCTTCCCCCGTAGGGGACAGACCCAAACCTTCGACATTATCAATTCAAATCACTGTAATCAATCCATTCAACTCAAGCTTTTGATATCCCTTCCCTCCTGGCTCACGAAAGATAGAAGGGAGTCAAGAAACATATAATTAACTCCAGCCCATGCTATGCCTAAGCGCCATATTACGAAAGTCCACACACTGCCAACAAGAAGAAAAGAACCACCGAGCAAAACCCCATACGAGACGACAAGGCCAGATTAAGCCTCTCCATCCGATGTCTCCTCCTTCGACTTGCTCTTCTTCTTCTTTTTCTTCTCCTTGCGGTCCGCGGCATCGGCGTCCGCTTCCAGCTCCGCAGCCTCCGACTCGCGCTTCCGCTTCTTCTTCTCCTTCTTCTCCTTCTTTTCCTTCTTGGCCTTCTCGGCTTCCTCGAGCTCCTCGGGCGCCACAAACGCCTTCTCGCGCTCCTTCATCTTCTCCTCCCGCTTCACCCGCTGTCTCTCCATAATCTCCTCCTTCTGCGCCCGGTCCTTGGCCTCCTTGGATAGGAAGTACTCGCCGGACTCGATCTGCAGATCCACCTTGCTCTTCTCCGGGGCCGGGGGGAAAGGCGTGTACACCTTCTTGGTCTTGTCCGTGACCTTGAACGGCATGCGACGCTTCGACAGAGTGCGCTTCTTGAAGTTGGGCAGGAACCGGTCCCACGACTCTTCTGCCAACGAGGGATCCTTGGCCAGCTCGCGCTTGATCATGAGCTCCTTGATGTGGTAGATCGGGTGGATGTTGGCCATGCAGTCGTTAATGACCTTGCGTACTTCCTTCAGCCCCTTGTAGGGTCCCATCGCGGCCACCGTGTTACCCTGCACCAGGATGTAGGTGCTGGTGAGGAGCTCGAGCGCCTTGAGGGTGGAGCCGCCGGGCCCGAGGATACGTTGACGGCGCTTGACGAAGCGCTCCTTGTTGCGGACTTGGTTGCGGATCTTGATAACGTCGCATGCGACTTCGTCGTCGAGAATTTTCAGGGCCTGGAGGATGATCAATCAGCAAGAAGTTTCTTTTTGTACGTAGCGTCGGCGACGAGAAAATATCTCCTACCTGTTGCACCGGAACACTTCTGGACAGAAGCTTGATCAAATCGCGCGCCTTGAGAATGGCAGCAGGATCAAACGTCTTCCGCGTCGTCTTGACCGTCATGCTACCCTCGACCAAATCGAGGGTACAAGCAATGCCATATTTCTCCAGGGATCTCGTCACCAGGGGCCAGGCCTCCTTGAGATACTGTTCGCGGTACTTGGGGAACAGAGTCGCGAACGAAGACTCCTCGGCGAAACTACCGGCGGCATTGTCTTCGGCGTTGAAAGGTTCGACCTAGTCGCAGATTTGCAAGGTTAGCATGCGTTTTTGTCGCTAGTGCATCCCAAAAAATCTTTTTTTTTTCGCGCATTGGGATCATTGCACCAACCTTCCATTTGTCGATATCGTCCGTATCCCACGGCTTGTCTCTCTTGTATGTGGAGGGCATATTGAGTCCTTGTTGCGACAAACAGGGAGGAAGACTCTGGATGGATCTGCAATTCGATGGAAAGAATGATTGATGATCGAATTGCCGGCCAACTTTTTCTGAGGCGCTCCCGCCCCGCGGGCACTTACCGTTTTAGGGAGCATTGTTGGCCGAGTATTTCAGGCAATTATCAGGCATCCGGACAGTGGCTCCGGAGCGCCTAGAGCGATCGATCGAGGCTCAACTCAAGCCCATGCTCGTCGGTCATCTTCTTGTTACATCGCGTCACTACGTATGTATGGAGTACAGAGATTAAGCGCCGGGCCAGATGTGGCTCTGTGATCAGACAAGATCTTCCTCATCTGCACAGTGAGCGCATCTCCACCCCTGATGTATCATATTGCCGTCGAGGTGGGCTTATAGCATCCATTGGGCCTGCACTGCACAGTATGCAAGGCTTCTACTGTAATTCATCGCACCATTTGGTATGTTTTGACGTTGCACTTCTAGAGTACCGGAGCCGCGCGAAACTTATTGGCACAGCAGACCGGCAAGAAATCGATAACGGCCTCATAGACTCGGTCCAATGAATCGTGCGAAGAATTGGTTCCTTGGCTGCTATTCCATGTGCATTGAGCCGCCCAATAATGCTCAGGCAGCTTCACAGCTTCGAGTAGAATATATACTATTGTACAGTGCGTCTGCACACAGAAAAGTGGAAGATCGGCTCACGAGTAAAATCGACATAATTCGATCGATTGGTGTATGCATTGTCTAGATCTGAGCTTTGGATGCACGAGTAGACTCAGGAGTAGACTCAGGAGTAAATCAGCAGGCTGGAGAGTTCAACTAGCCTTTCTGTCCTTCCTGTAGACTATCGTTTCTAGGCTTTGATTGAGGGAGAGAGCGAGCCTTCATCAACCATTTGTGAATCGCCTGAGAACGAGCTTGAATACCCAGCATCTCGATCAAGCCCCCAAGGGCAGTGAGCCACTAATCGCATAAATGACAATGTGGGTCGCGGGGTATGCGGACGAGAAAACAGACCTGTCAACGTCGTGGGAGGACTTTGGTTAAGTGCACAATTCGAGTCCTCAAACCAGCGAGGCGATCCCGTGTGTCTGGCTCCAAGTTCCGTACCCGAAGCGCCAAACAGTCCTCGAACCTTCCCTTTCCCTCGCTGACTATCCTTCCTCCCTTCCTTAAGACTTCTCCCTAGTCTCCATTGCAATCCCATTGTCATTCTTTCGCGTTAAGAATTCTGAGAGTCAATATGATTCAAACCAGGTGGGCCCTGTGGTCTCCACTGGCGCACTTCAAGATAGTGCGTGCTCAACGTCCTTCCATTTTCATGGACTTCGCCCAATCTGGCCCAGCCCAGCTGGTGGTTCTGCCAGCGCATACTTGTCACAGTCCCTTCGCTCAATTTCGGCCAGCAAGGTTGCAGAAAATCTGGCAGTAGCAGATTTTATGCACTCTGCTCGCGTTCGAGTCGACTCAAGTCAAACAAGAAAGGGCTTTCGAGGGTGCATTCGACAATGAAACCCGTCGTATGAGCGAGTTCCTGTATTGATCAGCACGCTACACCTCAGACTCACAGATACCTTGTAAGCGCTGTCAACCATCATAGACCAATGCCTATGATAACAGTCAGTTCTTTACCTGCGCCAGGAGAGATCGACGTCGTGTTTGCTCGTGATCATCTCAAGGCCTCACGACCCATGCAAAGCCTCAAATTCAAACTAGGAGATAAAAGCACGGGCGAATTAAATCTAGAGTCTTTTGTTCAACTGATTGACTAGCACCAGTATCGACTTGTCTGAGCTAACAGCGAAGCCTTGCCCCTAATGACCGGCCCGTCCATGGAAACCCGGAGAACATCAAACGGCTTGAGACCAGCTCCTGACCGGAGCAGAATCATTGACAAACATCACGGCTGAAGTTCCGAATGTCTATCGAGGCTTCCTCCCGATACAAACATACCTAAACTGTCAGCGTCCAACCGGCAACGCATTGGAAATGAGCTACTTACAGTGGAAAGTAGGCTTTCAGGCCCGGTCTTCCTGCTTCTTCCTGTGCTCTGGAAATCATTTGCTCGAACTCTTCATAAGGCATTCCCAGGCGTTGAGTCATCGGATACAACGCCAACGCTGGCAGCAACTGGTTAGTACATTTGAGGTTGGCTGCACCTATTTCTCGTGCTCGTGGATCTAGACTGGTATTAGTTCCCTGATATACGACTCTCATGCATCGGAAGGTATACCATTGGACCACCCAGACAGAGGAAGTGGAATCATTCTTGCATCCACCTGGTCCATTCCTGCTGCCATCAAAAGGTCTTTCAAGCGCGTCCCTACACGAAGGTCCTTTCTGTCATCCAACGACTGCATGAACTTGGTGCTCCATTGTCTCAACGCATGCTCCTCGGTGAGGGACCCATTGTCTGATTGAACATTGAAGTACATCTCCACCAACTGGACCCAACCACCCGGCTTCAGAACTCTAGTTTGTTCACATAAGTCAGCTTATGGCGTCAAAACATCAACGATTCAATGACCGTGCCGCCACATGCCAGACCTCTTGATATCCCAAATATAAGACAGCCATCTGGCTCGGTCGATGCCTGTCGCTTGCATCCTCGAATGAACGAGATCGAAATGATTCGAGGGAAAGGTAAAAGGGCGATTGAGATCGTCGATCTACGGCGTCTTTTATTAGCATTTTCTAAGGCAAGCACCATGGGACGGTAGCTGGTAACAAGCCAAAAGAGCTTGTCAGACGGAAGAAGGGCTTTTCATCGACTGGTATGCCGAATGACTTTTCTTCAGGCTCGGGGATGGGAGCCGTACCTGAAACCATAGATTGTCCGGGGCATAATCAGGGCTCATCTGGGGCGATATGTCGACCCCAATGACCTTCACACAGTGGTTAGCGAGACTGAGTGTCCAAGCTGCCGTATGTGCCCTGACCTCGCATTGTGGATATTGCTCCGCTACCTCGACCGCCCAAGCTCCTGTACCGTGACCGCAATCGAGGATCCTTTCGGGGTTGTCGCTCGGCAGGGGTGGGAAGATGAGCCGGTCGTCAAACACCTTGTTGAAGACTTGGTGTTGAAGTTCGAGACGTTCCACTTCATCCTAGGGGTTTCGAAGTCAGTGACGTACGGATTTGCGGCGAAGGTCGCTGATTATACATCGTCAACCGGCTGGAAATAGATTTTTTGCTCGACGGAATATTTCTGGAAATCGCGATCAAGGACTGTGATGATCTGAAGAAACTTGGCATCCAGGTCCTCTGTTTGCGAGTTGGGACTCCTTGAAGACAAATAAGGATTAGCTCCTTATGCAAAGCTCACAAGCTGTGGTACCAGGTTACGTGCGTCATTTTGATGTTTCAAGCCCGTGGCAGATTTGAGCAGGTCTTATTCTCCGAAGTGATCCGGGTCAACAAGGGATGACAGTAGGTGTGCCCGGTCAACCAGTACGGCTTTGTACACTGGGACCTGAAAAAGAAGAGACATATAGTACGTTTCGAATTTGGTGGTAGGGAGTGATCGATGTGGCAGCCGAAAGAGAATCGCGTTGGAGATCTTCTTGATCCCGCCGGAAAGGTGCGTATCCTGCCCTTTATGTGTGAGCTGAGCGAAGTATTGGGATGCGGGACTCCATTGTTCGTACTAATGTACGGAGGGTGGGAAAGCCCGTTCAGCCCGATACCCAGCGTCAGGCTTGGTGCTGATGAGGACCAGAACCAAAATAATTGGCAGAGAAAGCCTGAAACACACCATCCAGCCTGTCGGATACTGAACGAAGATCCTCCGTTCGTTCCTGTAATACACGTTATCAATGCTCAATGAAGGCTGAGGACCTCGACGGTTTGCCTCAATGGCATAACAGAATTGACACCCCGGGCCGAAACGATTACACAACTATGTAAGGTGGAAAGGGGAAGGGAGGGGCCGGGAAAGGCCTTCTTGGAGGGGTCACCAGTACTTCCGATCCCACCCTATGGAAGCAGACGGCCAGTCTGGCAAGGTTCCTCGTGCCTGTTCATCGCGGCCTGTCCATCTCTCAGTGCCTAGATGGCCAACCGGCACGGTCACACAGTAGCTCGCTTGTATTTCAGTACAGAATTCAAGCGAAGGATCCAGGCCATCCTGACCCTGTCAAATCACGGATTGAGAGTACCATCAATACTACCGAGCCTAATCGATTTACTCGGGTTCCTGAATCATCCTCCGTTTCCTGCGTTAACACCTTTCTGCCCCCTACCAAACAGCCCCCTCTAAAACCGATTCATCATATCCATCCAGGAGCAGCAAGGTGCCAACCGAACAATCAGTGCGTTGGCTTGGTGGAGTACTTCACCAGCCTGTGTGCGGACTAAACAGAAGAACTATTCTGCTGAAGACCGATGCAAGCGAGCTACTGAGGCGACCGATCTCCGAGGAAACTTTCAACAAGAGAAACCTCCAGTATTTATGGATGCATGCCTTGCTTTCCGGGGTCATTGAGAATCCAAGGCTAAAAGTAAGAAGAATCGGAAACCGGAGGAAAGTGATGATCAGAAAATCTTCGAAGCCAAGAAAGCAGTCCGGATTAACGGTCTTGGTGTCATGCACGAGGTACCACAGGGTTGTTTGGGTGCATAACATGCACACAGCCAAGGAGGGATTTGGCGCAGTAGCGCGGACTTTTGGCCAGCCACTATATCGAACATGATGATGGCTTCGCTCAGCGTTTGGATAACAGCAGGGATCAAATGGTCATGAAACCATGAACGCCCTTAACTCAAGGTGATCGGGAGGAGAGGGACTGAAGATTTTGATCTTAAGCACAGGCACGGTAAGTGATCACCAGGTCAACAATTTTTGCCATTTACGGGGCCACTAAAATATAGGTATCCGTAGTCTCTTCACATTAACGCAAGTAGAATGTGAGGATTTTTTCTTTCTCATTCAAAGTTTTACTCCTTCATTTCAGTCCACCTCATTCGCATCTACACCGCTCCTTTCCTGAGTCGCTCAATCAATAGAAAATCCGGCACTCGGTGTTGGGAACACTCGACAAACGAGATTGAAAGCCCCTTAAGGTGGCCAGGTCGACGTCAAGATTTTGTAAAGTTCCTGGGATGCGACTACCCATGAAGAATGGACCAATAACGTCATCCAAGCGGGTGGCTTAATTCCAACACATCCACAATGAGAGACACTCGACTGGGGCCTCCAATGAACGTGCACTCTTCAAACTTACCATGAATGGCATAAGGCCGGCTGCAAAGAACAGCGACTGGCCACATCGGCGCAGCGTCTTCAGGTCGACGGCCCGATTGACCACAATGGGATGTCCTACTCATGAGGCCCTACTCATTCAGATGAGCCACAGACAAGACGATGACGAAGCATGGACTCCGCTATGCCTGGTTGCCTGAGACAGGGCTCTCAGCGCAGCGAACACGGCGGTGGCTTTGCTCAATTGCTGTGGGAAGGGGGGAGGGTGAAGAAAATGGACCGTGCCAAATGGCTCGTTAGGGTTACGCTAGACACCATGCAGGGTTACTGTTCTGTCCTCTGAGCGTCCGCTGCACACGGACAGGGAAGGGAGTTCATGCACGTCAAGAGGATTGTCAGCATACCGGATTGGAAGGTAGAGCCATCCATGTAGTCGGTACATAGGAGGTAAGTGTGGTACGTACTAAGTAGAGACGAAGGGGACAAGATAACCTACAGTATAGTGCAGTGCTACAGGTCTGGGAGCGATCCCAGAACCATGGTTCAGTCGCGGGAAGCTGGAGGCCTTCCCGTCGCGCCCTTCGGTAGTTTAGTCTAAGGGGGGGAGTTGGACCCGCTAAATCAACGGGGACTTATCAAGACGATGAAATGATCCCCTCTCTTTGTTTTTCTCTCTCCGACTCTCTCCTCCTTCTTTGTGATTCTGTAGTCTGGCAATCGTGTTATTCTCTCTTTCGCAGTGAACAACTCAGCTATGATACTACGTACTGTACAGTAACTAATCGCACCTAAGTTACCACAGTTTATGCCTACATGTCTCGGTCGGATGATGATCATGCTAGTGAAGAAAGCATTTCCCTTCCAGCAATTCTTCGTTGACCCAAACTCCCATCCCCAAGAAAAGAAACAATTCACATATCTAAGCCACACAACCCTTCGTCTGGTCACAAGATGCGTGACACCTCAGCCATAACCCTATCAACATTTCTATAGTTAGGTAGTGATTTCAACTTGATTAATCCGGCATCTCCACCCTAGAGCTGAGCCCGGCCCGGCCTGCCGTTGGCCAACAACAATCCAATCCCACGATGTCCTCCGCAATGAACACCCTAGGCATTAAGGCCTCCAAAGTCCTGAAGTGGCATCACGCGAAAACCCAGCACCTCGGTTTTCACAAACCTTGCAGTAGGCTTTGAAACCTCTGCTCTTCCAGCTTGTTATTCTAAGTAGACCAGCAATCCATGGGAACTTAGGTCCTATCCTGCTCGAGCTAGCTTTCCAGATCGTCGCATAGGCAGCGCAGACGATCTCATTCACTTGTTCTTCTCCGATTTCGCTCTTAGCCATGTCGATGTTGCCGGGGTTGACCGATTTAACCAAAAAAAAAAAAAAAAAAAAAAAAAAAAAAAGCAGGGGCATTGGAGTTTGTAACAGTGTATGCATGTACAAATACCATCATCTCACGATTGCCAGTTACACTTCTAGATAGAGAATCACGATACACCTTAAATTCATTATCTCGGAAGTGCCAAAGATCCTGAGCTGGGTTCAATTCATGGCATTGCAACTCGGCTAAACTAAAACTTGGGCGGGTTGGGTATTTCTTTTTCTGGAGCTCGTGGGGATTAGCATCATTGCATGGTCGTTGGGGTCGTTTGGTGAACTATATACACCTTCCGGGATTCGGGGGGGGGGGGGGGGGGGGGCTCGTGAGAAGAGCCGCGAAGGCTTAGTGATGATTTAGGAGGAGAATTAGGGTTGAGGGGATGTGAGGGGGTCCAATGGATGAGGTCCAGCGCGACCGGATCGATGATGTGCGAACCGGATAGCGGTGCGAAGGGGCTGTCGAACCGATACCCGCGCTTTTTGGTACAGCTTCACTCGGCGGAGTAGAGTTGGGCGTGCCAGCAACGCTGTAGGTGGATGGATTTGTCTGTCAATTGCGGGTGCGCTGGCAAGGCCATGGCTGGGGTGTTCGATCGCGAAGATGCATGCGTCGTGAGTGGACAAGCCTGTGTGGGAGGTGGATTTTCCGTCCGCGAGTGTTGGCCTCGACTGTAGACAGCACAAGGCGGAGAGAAGAAGAGGAGTGCACTCTGAAGGATGCTCAGTATTCTTTGCTGATCGCACTCAGGGAGTGTGCTAGCTTCAGAAGAACAACGCTCTCCGTGGCGGCATAATAGTTCAAGCTGCAGGCCGATATCAGTAATCGCCACATCTCTTTGGCCTTGATACTCACCTGTCCATCAAAATCCGCAAATGTCGGCTGAAATGGTCCTCGACTCGTTTAAGTGACTCGTCAATCTTGTCAACTCGCGTGGGATCGTATTCACGGCCCATTGTCCTAGACAAGTCGGGGTCGGCCAAGGCAAGGTTGCGATTGAGGTTGCCGTCGGCCCAGCTAGCGAATGTATTGCAGCCTATCATCAGGCGGTGATGAACCTAGTTATTCTGTGAGCAAGCGGGAGGGGCAGCCTGGGTAAGCTCAACTGACCTTCAGTAGTTTGGCTTGGGTCAGCATGCACTCTTTGAGACAAGTATCCAAGAAATCCACATGGTCCTGCATGAGTTCATCCACCGTACGGTTGGCCTGCTTGGTACCGTTGACGGTGACTTCCGAACCATCCGCGTCGGTTCCGTTCACCCGATTCATGAGAATCTGCCAATTGGGCTCGATGACCTCCGCCGTGCAGAAGTACAGAAGCTGTTGAATGAACAACAGCATCTTCGAGCGCAGGGTCCACGCGCGTCGTTTCCACGTCTCCAATCGTCGGTCAGAGGACTTGTGTCGCCAGGCGTCCGCCTTGCTTTGCTCCAGCCAAGATGCGCCGAGCATAGTTTCAACGTGGCGCAATGACAAGATGTGCCGGAAGACAAGTTGATACCGTAAAACTGTCTTCCGACTGATAACGAGAGACAACGGGAAGGGGACCAGATAGTCGAGCTCGAGCGCATCGAATCCATTTATCTTCGTATCATTCTCGCCACCTTGCGTCGAAGGGGCTTGGTATTTTTCGAGTGCCGCCTCCGGATCATCTTGGTTCATACCGGAGACGCTCACGACCTGCATCAGCCACTTCGTGAGCCCTACCTTATTCATCCGGACCTTAACGTCTTCTTTGAAAGGGTCCTGAGCAGCAATACTTCCAGGCTGACGTAGGACTAAGTCGAGAAGCGACTGGAGCTTGCTCTCGTTGACATCCTTGGCGGGCCTGCGCAGCTCAGAATCGCTAAGCTCGAGGAAGTAGGAAAAGAAGTCGGAGCGATCCAGGAAAAAGTAATGCTTGAGAGAACGAAAGCGGGTAGTCAACGAGTTTTTGGTCAAGAGAAGGTTCAATAACGAGGCATTTGCATATGTGTAAGCCGCGTTGACATTTTCCAAAAAGCGAGGGTCATCGAGAGTTTTGGGCACATCCCTGACCTCTTTACTGACATCGACACCACCGCATTCTCGTACGACATTGAGGTACTTTCCTGCTAATAAAACTTTGTCTTTGACTGTCTCCAATTGTGGCGGCACCTCGTTGTCGCGGATCGTATAACGTTTGTCCCAATACTCGTCTGTGTAGTCTTCTTCAAGCTTTTCGCGCTTGATCCATTTCTGCTCTTTGACCAGGAATTCACCATGTGGGTCTTTGATCCCTCCATGATGCAACCATTCGTTGAGCATAGTCATGTAAGGCCGGCTGCCGTCTCGCAGCAATCTCTCCAAAAGAGCCTTCGTGGTGGGGTCACCTGAGAATGTTGCAAGTCGCTCTGTAAGAAGACGGAGAACATTGCCGCCTTTGCATATCTTCTTGCTGGACATCGCACCTGGGACAAGGTCTCCGCCTTCCCTCAACTGTTCGAGAATATTATCGACGTCGTCGAAGTCATCGATTGTCTCATCGAGGTCTTGGTCCAGGAGCCCGTTGCGCCGGAGTAGGTCCTGACCGAATGAATACAATTGAGCCAAGCATTGGCTAGTCGGCATGGTCTGCAAGTGTAGAACATGCAATGTGAAGTTGGGGTTTCTCAGCAGTTCACCTTCAAGCTGCGCGACGAGTACCAGAAACTCTTTTAACAATTTCCGGATCGTAGCACACATAGCATGGCTCACTTGGCCGTATTCCGCCCGACTTTGCACTTCGACAAATGATTCCAACGCGCTATAATGCGTCGCGATCTTCAGCGTCGATAGGGTGAGATCCTTCAAGGTAGGGTCTAGACCAGCCGGTAGCTGGAAGACGGGGCCTGTCAACCGATCCTTTTCCACCGACGGGTCGTACGAGCTGTGGTAATGAATGTACTGGCCCTCAAATCCCATGAAAGTGAAGAGAAGATCTTCCAAGATTGCTTTCTCCTGCGCGTCCGGAGATAGCTCGCGAAATGGCGGGGGCTGTAGCGATGGAGGCAATGCGGATGCCAGCGGAGGAACAGAGACACGAGAGGCCAACGGCGCGGTGGAATGGGGCACTAGAGAAGCTTGCGGGTTCCAAGGAGCTGTAGGTGGTCTATAGTCAGCGTCTGAAGAGGATTCTCGATTTGCGAACGAGCATGTGGAGGGAAGATTGACTGACCCTCGGTCGGTTGCTTCTCCTTCCTGCGAGCATTGGGACTGGCACCGTCGGCTTGGCTAACTCGCTTCGACCGTGAGCGCTCAAGCCCTCTGCCATGCCCGGCTGGCAATTCCTTCGTTGCATGCCTTGTTCGACCGTGAGACTTTTCCTTCGCGATGCCCGGCATCCGCTCTGCACGCCTGTCGGTCGCCATTTGTTGTTGTTCGCGAGAGATCCTGGCTTTGGGGCTGGATGAGCCGACAAAATGAGAGATAGGTTCCGACTGCAGTGGAGAGGCACCGCTGCGCAGGGCGGCTCTTTCTGGATCAGCGACGCGATTCGAGGCAACGCGGGGTCGTGGTGCGCTCATGTAGTTGGCGCGACGGTCACTGACGGACATGCTCCCGCAGGGTGAGAACAATCGGGTCGACCATGCAGCATAAGGGGGCTGGCTTGCTTTGGCGGGAGATTAAGAATAGAGCGAGAAATCTCCTCCTCTTCGTGAAGCTAAGGGCCACGAGAAGCGATAACAAATCGAATTGCACACGGTCGCAATTATACGTCGAGGGGGAAGTTGGGTAATCGGGGAAGTTTGGTACGCAATCCGACAAGCTCCAAACAATCGATAGATGCCTGGTTGTGGCCTGGGGCAGCAACTCCCGCCTTCTCCGCCAGGCACTCGCCGGACTTGCGTAGCCCGCAACAGCTTCGCCCCGAGCTTCCCAAGAGCAGTTGGCCAACATCTTCTCCTCCTCCACCTCATCCCTACGCCCTACAACTTATCACACTTTCCCCTCTACCTCTCCCTATCCACCACAACTTAACCCCATCTTCTCTTTTGACTCCGCATATCTCTTTCACCCCCCACCCCCCACAGCCAACATGTTCATCGCCCGATCGGAATATGGTAAGCTCCGTCAGACCCTCCTCTAAGATGCGGTCATCTAACAGCTTCTCATCGCAGACCGTGGAATCAAGTACGAGCCCTGCCACCTCCCTTTTGAGTCTGCTGGATCTGTTTCGGATTCCTAACCCCGTCACCCTCGCAGCACCTTCTCTCCGGAGGGGCGTCTCTTCCAGGTCGAATACTCTCTTGAAGCTATCAAATTGGGCTCTACTGCGATCGGTGTACGTTCAGCCATCCCTCCTGCGACAGCCCCGACCTGTCAATGCCTCCCAGCGATACGAGCGTGTCTCTTCATGCGGTTCCCTGAACTAGTCATGTGTGGTGGAATGGACCCGTCTAACAACAGAACCAGGTAGCGACCTCGGAAGGTGTCATTCTGGGCGTGGAGAAGCGCGTCACCTCCAGCCTCCTTGAGGCTTCCTCCGTTGAGAAGATTGTCGAAGTCGACCAGCACATTGGCTGCGCCATGTCCGGCCTGCAGGCAGATGCCCGGTCCCTGATCGAGCATGCCCGCGTCGAATGCCAGAACCACGCCTTCCACTACGCGGAACCCCTCAGAGTCGAGAGCTGTACCCAGGCGATCTGCGACCTGGCGCTGCGGTTCGGAGAGACGGGAGATGACGAGGAGAGCGTGATGAGCCGACCCTTCGGTGTCGCTCTGTTGCTCGCCGGTATCGATGAGGATGGACCTCAACTGTACGTGATGATGGAGATAGGGGATCTTGTCTCTTTGCGGCGCTGAAAAACAGCCGGCTGCTGTAGCGTGTGTCTGGCTTACTAATCTCTGTCTTCATTAGATACCACGCCGAGCCGTCGGGTACATTCTATAGATACGATGCCAAGGCGATTGGCTCCGGCAGCGAGGGAGCGCAGGCGGAGCTGCAGAACGAATACCACCGCTCCTTGACGTTGGCGGAGGCAGAGACTCTGGTCCTGAAGACGTTGAAGCAGGTCATGGAGGAGAAGCTGGACGCGAAGAATGTCCAGCTCGCCAGCGTGACCAAGGAGAAGGGATTCCGCATCTACAACGACGAGGAGATGGGCCGGGCTGTTGCGCAACTTGGCGGGAACCAATGAGGGAGAGGATAATGCATGGGAATCTCAATGAGGTCAATGTGTATGTCGGCAATGGTACCTTAGTCTTTGGAGGGATCTCTGTTGGGTCAACCCATAGAAAAGAACAATGACTTGTCTAATGATCTATATATCACTTGGTTGCATCGACCCTATTGATAACGAATAGGACACTTTTAGATCCTGGCGAGGAAGCCATAAGGTATTTGCACGAGATCGTCAGCGTCACCTGGCAGCATCATCCGCAGACGCCAGGCCTACCCCATATACTATGTATTATATAACACCCATAGCAGCGATCCCCCCCAACTCACGACCTCGTAAACTCCGCAACCGCCCCCAAAACCACCTCAGCCACCCTCTCCGGCTGGCCAACCTGCGGCACATGGCCCGCACTGCACCGCTCAACCCGACTCCCCGCCGTGGCCGCCAACTGTTCCTGCAACCCCACGGGCAAAGCCCGATCCCCCTCACAAACCAGATACACACTGGGCACATCCCGCCACCCGGCATACTCGACCGTGCCATCCCACCCCCGCGCCGGCTGGGCCCTGAGCACTGCCACCCACGTCCTCTGCGCCTCCTCCGACAGATCCCCGAAGAGCAGCTTCTCGGGGTTCGCACAGTACGATGCGCCGCCCTGGCATTCGTTCAAATTAGCACTGGATGAAACCTGCCCCCCTAGAACCTCTTGCGCAACCCCTTTCTTCCCCTTGATATGCTGACTTTGGCACAGGAGCAGGGAGAGGGAACAGAAAGACAAACCTCCACAAAAGCAAACGGCACCGGCGCATGCTCAAACCCTTCGGGGAACACCGCGGCCGCCAGAAACACGATCCCGATGACGCCGCCGTCGCCGCCTTCGCCGTCGCCGCGAGCAAGGCCTTGCATGGCTTCGCTGCCCAGGAACCCGCCGGCTGAGTGCAGGACGAGCACCACGGAGTCGCCGCGGGCGACGAGCCGAGAAATGGCGGCGCGGAGGGCGGCGATGTCGTCTTTCATGGTCGGGTTGCCCGGCGAGAGGGTGCCGGTGCTGGGGAGGGCGGTGGTCTCCACGGGGTAGCCGGCGGCCGTGAGGAGGGTGGCCAGCTCGGTGTAGACAGTGGGACCTTCCCAGAAGCCGGGGATGAGGAGGATTGTGGGGGTGGGCATTTTTGGTTGTCCTTGAGGTAAAGGATGGGGGGTTGGGCGGTTGTTGCGGTGGTGAGAGAGAGAAAGGTGGGTGGATGTCCGGTAGAGTATGTAGACAGGGGGGGATTTGGAGGAGGGGAGAATGGATTTAATGAATACGCGGTCTTGGGGGTGGGCTGTCAGCTATGGAGAGGAGGCTATTTGTGGCGGGATTGATTGATCAATCGCTTGAGCTTGTACTAAAGCTAAGGCTCTATGTCTGATCATTTTATACGCTATTGTCGTTGAGGATGGAGACGTGCGGTCCTACTGTGATCCAGTAGAATGGGATGGTCTGTCTTTTCTCCAAGATACTACTTGATTACTAGACTAGCTGGTAGCAAATCACAAATGGGACAGGGCTGACAGGACTATCTTATTGCCCCTAATTAATGAGTTCAGAGCAAGCTAACACCGTCCTCGTTCTCGCGTAAGCACTAACATCGAACCGAGCTCACGGAGGTCTGGGTAAAGCTTAGTATAGGGAAGCCTGGTCCAGTCACAGTCTGTGACATTGCGCATCTCACCGATATCAATGTTACGAAGGGGCGACGTGGAAGCTGATATCGCGTCTACAAGAAATGGATCGCGGACCGTCGAGCTCTCCGTTCCTGCTTTACGTGTCTCATCCAAGCTTTGCCATTCCATACGACTTCATCACTCACCCCAGCAAGGATTCCCTCGCACCTATAGGGCTGAGTGGCCTATACAGCGTGCTTCCACACCACCGCTACAAATCCTTGCCTGTTTTCCCGCCTCCTCTTTTGATGTCTGGACCTAATAAATCGGTCCCGGAACCAGCTGGCGAAATCTGATTCCTCGGGTGGGTTGCCGGACGCACAGCTTGCATACGCTGTAGATATATGCATGCACATATAACCTGATTTGCCGCTGATCGCTGGCAACCGGGATCTAGAAACGATCGCGGTGGTTTCTGCGCCACCGATTACCTGGCCTGGATTGTAAACTGGGCTGGGGTTGTGAGGCCTCGACATAGTTGGCAACTCGAGGCCTCTTTCGAATCTAGACTGTCTGGGTTTGGTGGCCAGGTCTTCGAATCTTTGTTGTCGGCTTATGTGGCTGGTGCGCTCCGAGTATTTTTATATCTGCCGATTGATGCTGTCGCTGTTGCCATGTAAGAAGACAAGTACAATCCCGAAACAGGAGATATTGCTGCAGGTGTGGGATAATTGTAGCTTATGTTGTTGTTGTGGCCCGAGGTTTTGTGTCATGCATTTAATCCCTGGAGCTTGGATCATCATCAGCATGACTAGTACAATGATGAGAGTTGAGAACTGACCTATTGATATAGCCACATCCTTTGTTTGATTCCGATCGACAATCAGGAGATATCATTGTTGGAGATCTCGCATGCACGGTCAGAATAAGGATGTTCTTTGTCCGTCTGCAAGGAAGAATGTGAGCTGTAGTCAAGGAATAGCGAGGTCATCGCTTAGGTGTTCTTCGGTTACAATGAGCGACTTTTGAGGAAGTCTTCAACCGCTACTTGGATCGAATCAGAGTCAGACATGGGGTAGAGCGATCGAGGACTTATGCCAGGTGCTTGGTTACCAAGCACCTTTAAGCTTATGTTATCTGCGTTGTGAATCAATCACAACAATCGACTCGCTCCCAATCGCGGAAATTGGCATAGCAAGTCCTAATCGCAGATTGATCTCCTGCCTGATCGGATCTACCAAGCAGTAGGGCCAGACCTGGCTGAGAAAATAATCCGAGCTGTTGCGCGCAGGGACGGAGACTGGATCGTGCAGAGATGCCTATACGGAGACTTGGCGCAGAACAACAGTTGGCAGTGCCTTAGCTTCGGCTCCGTTCTTGTTGGCTCGGCATTAGTGCAGAAAAGCCACAGGCTGGGATGGGGTGAGTGGGTGTACGACTCCGCTGGACTGTCCATTGTTTTTTCTTCATGGCTCATGCGCCTGGATGAGATTGTAGTTTAACGTCGAGTCTGCAGACATCCGGAGGGGTCAAAGACGACACGGCAAATTTAGAGCGGCATACCAATTCCGTCAATGCCTGCATCCTCTTTACCCTTTTTGAGCTGCGAAGTTGAGCTCATCTCATGTCATGTCCCTAATTGTAACCTAATCTTCCGGGTCCAGTGTCGAGGCCGTGTTTTGAGTCAGAAGATAGCCCTTTCTTACTCCCCCGCTGCCCGGCCGAGGCTACAATTCGAGGATGCCTCTATCCCACTCCACTATCACTGGTGTCTACCCAAGCACTGTCGTAAGCCTGGAGGATCTATTTGTGTTGCCCAGTCGCCCCGGTCTCGACCATTTTCTGACCCGCTGTGGATCGGCGAAAGTAAACAATATGGCAACGCCAACGAAACCACGGCAGTACTGGGTTTGTCTATGTGGATAACCAAGTGAGTCTGGAGGTCCCAGGAAATTTGATTGGTAGAGCAACAGTATCGGTGTGCGATGAAAACACAGAGTAGAGGCGTCCAGATTGACTTCCAAGGTCAGGCCACTCTTCGACTTGTTTTGAGTACTCGATGTTTATAGTCAAAGGTATTGTTGATCATGGCCAGTCTCATGCACATTAAAGGCAGACGGGCCCATTCGAGTCAGCCAATTGGTAAGGTCCCCCGCTCACGACTGCAAAGAGAACAACCTGAGGCCCGACCGATGGAATGAAATTGCTCCTGGTGCCTCGGAAAACAGACGGCAATGTTGCACCGAACAGTCTCTGGGAAGGCGGCTGAATCGACGTGAGATGTCATACATACAACAGTTCCTCCGCCCCTGTCGTAGGCACGTGGTCTTTGCAAGGCTACCACTGTGTAACGGCTAGATTGGTGGTTGGTGGTCACTGAGCTTCAGTAACCGCGTCCTGTGAGGAAGCATTGCCGTATCGGAGTGATGCTTGTCTGGCTGGAATTCTTGGGTTGAAACCAGGAGCGTCGAGACCCTTGTCTCGGATCGACCTAGTTCGCTGTAGACCACGGCAAAAAAACCTCTGGACCTGGGATCTATCGACTAGTTCGTAATCAGCAGTAACTACTGTACTGGAGTCACTGACTAGCCGCCTCTGGTTGGAAGTGGGCGGGCTTTACACCCAACCACGAAGGGCTTGATGCATGATGTACTGATGGGCGGACAGCTGGACGGAAGCAATGCGCTGCACTGCTTACGCCTCGAGATTTGCGATTTGCGTGAAGATTGATGGGGAGGACCAGACTCGAGGGCGAGGCGGCTGGGTGGAGGATGAGTTGCAGGGTGGGAGACCAGGAATGGACAGGCCGGAGGAGTTTCAACACAGCTGAGGGAGTGAGGGAGTGAGTGAGTGGCCATCAAAAGCACACGCGGTTACCGCACGGGGAAGGCGAGCAATCCAGCTGAAGCAATCCGTCCACCGTTACTCCGTACTCAGTAACGACTCTAACGAGACGCTTACACGTGGATCCTGCCGGGATATCGCAGGGCGAGGGGTGCGGATCGCTAGATTTACCATACCATTACGCAAGGGTAATCTTCTCCACCGGACGTCACTACACCTAGTCCTATGTCTGTAACTGTGTATGTACAGTATTTCGATTTCCTTTTCTCAATTCTGTCTTTTCTTTCCCACCAATTTTCTTCAATCTATTCTCGATTCCCTCTTTTCCCTTCACAGTGGACATTTACCAGAGAATATATAAGAGTCCTTCGATTCTCGCCACTGCTGGCAATTATTCCATTGTTGCATTCTATGACATAGAGCACTTTCCATACTCATACTTCCGAAAACTGCCTTATCGACTCGATCGATTATCAACCCTGCCCCGCCATCTGATTTAAACTGCGGCCCGCCAAAAGTCAGCCGCTGTCGTCACCCACGGTTGAATCTAATCATCCTTCCATCTCATTCATCCATACTTCGTACTCCATCCCGAGTCACAACAGTCAGTCACCCTTATCTGCCTTCGGTCCCTTCAAGTCATCCTCTCCTCCACCACATCGCCCTATCACACATGTCTCGCTACGGCGACTACCGTCGCTCCACGGGGGCTCTTGACGATGACCGCTACCCGCATGAGCGACGGGAGCGTCACCACCGTCACCGTTCGCGCGCCCCCTCGGTGCTTGATCGCCCCCGCCGATTCGAAGAGGATGAACGTTTCGAATACCGCCTCCAAGAACAAGACCGCTACGGTCCCCCTGCTCGTCGCCCCGACATTGTGTACCAGGACGATCATCTGATCCACCCGTCTGGTCCCCTGGTTGCCTACGATCGCCGTCGTGCGGAGAGCCCTCTGCCTCGACCTCGACTTCTTCGGCGACAATCCTCCCTGGACACATTTGATCGGATCCCCACGCGCAAGTTAGACGAATATTACTACAGTGACCGACCTCCCAGACTATCTCCAAGCCCGCCACCCCGCCGTGGATCTTACCATCGAACCCGCGAACCAGACTACTACGAGGAAATCAGCATTGCAGAAGGGGACTATGGAGAGGAAGAGTACCGGGGCTTTCGCGAACGGAGCGTGGGACGTCCCCGTCGCTCAGCAAGTCGTTTTCGTGAGAGACGAGTTGAAGAAATCGATGTGGAAAAACCGTATCCTCGGAAAGGCAAGACTCGCATGCCCCGCAAGATGGTTCATACCACTGCGATCCGCGAGCTTGGCTACCCGTATGAGGAAGAGGTGTGTATACATGCCCTTCACACTTTTGACAAAGAAGAACGCCTAGAGTCTATTTTCCGATCGATAAGCTGACATCTATGGTCTTAGGGTAAAATGGTTGTCATTCAGCTGGCTCTGTCCAAAGAACAAATTGATGAGGTCATTGGGAGAAGTCGCGAGATCAAGCGCCTGACCGAGAGTAAGTCACCCTTCCACCCCGAGTCCGCAGGCAGCAGGGACTAACTGCATGGTTTTAAAGCACGCGTTATCCACACCAGCTCGCCGTCCCCAGTTCGTGCCCGCCGTCGAGACAGAACTGTGGAGCGAGTTCCCATGGAGGCCTATACCCCTAGGACCAGCCATGACACTCTTATCATCGAGGCGTCGCCGTCGCGCCATCGATCGCATTCGCGCCACCACCATTACCACCACCCCCATGGTGAGCTTCTGGAAAAGAAAGTGACCAGGACTGTATCCCGCACCCGAGACATTTCGGTCCATGGACGACCCCGTCGTCGATCGTCGCCAGTACGCAGATATGAGCGTTACGAGGAGCAGCCTAGCAAGATTCACGCTGGGCCCCTGGCAGTTGTGGTGCGGCCCCGCGACAGTGACGAAGATCTGCGGGAATATGCGCTTGAGCGACGTGGCAGCGGAGAATATGTCCGAGACACGGAGATCATTGGGGATGGGGTTGCGGAGGAGATTCATGAAGTGAAGAGAGAGCGCAGAGGTACGGAACATATGTCGGTCCAATCACCAATTTGGATGCTAATGCTTTTTTCAGGTCCCAGTTCTCGTATGATGCGTGCGATGATGGCGACATTGACGTAATCTGGTTGAGTTGCGGCGAAATCCAAGTTTCTTGCTCTTTTGACACTGACTTACGACTTATCGATTACCCTTTCGGTGTTTCTTATTATGACTGTGATCTTCTTCTCCCATGCTGTTCTCCCCTTTGCTTTCTTATCATGTACTATAACAGCTTGACTGTGTTTCTTTCTATATTATGTGACTAGCCCGGTTTGACGATCATTTGGCGAAGATAATGATGACTATGCGAGCAACGATGATTATAAACCAATACTCATGACTCATGAACAATCAACAAGTGCCTTTTAGTAGTCAAAGACCTGACTCTGCATGATCTATTCCAGCCACCTAGTGTGCTACTGCAAGCAATTATCCCACCGCCTGCTGCCAACTCATCGCCCATGGATTGATTGTTCTTTGTCAGGTCAGGTCAAGCGGGAACTTGAACTATTCCAGAAGCGTAATTGCCGGCATGAAACCGTGGCGGGGCCAGGCGGTGTCAGACCGACGGAAAGTGGCCTCGACGCTTGCGATCATCTCAAAACAACTCTGCAAGCCACAGATAGGCCATCTTACTCCTTTACAAAATCCCCTGCACCGGGTCTACTGAAGATCTAACAGCAGCATCGTACCGACTTTCACCATGGACAAGTTCTCAGCATTCGGAAAGAACCTTAGGTGAGATAACCCGTGGCCAACCGTCCACCTCCTCAGTGTGGCTTGTGCCAGGCGTTGGTAGTGGATTCCGTATCCAGCCTCTTCCTCAGCGGCTGCAGCACGAGCTTTAATTGCCATTATCGATGGGACATTCACGCTAATAATTCGCTTCAATGGGATATTCAGCGCGAGCTTCTCTCCCTTTGCTCAGCGCACTCAGCAGATGATCCGCGAGCAACTCGGCCAGGCAGAAGACCGGACTCAGCTTCCCGATGAGTACATTGAATTGGAGAAGCGCGTGGATGCGCTGAAGATCGTCCACCAGAAGCTCCTTCAGGTCACGTAAGGACATCCATCTGTTCCTCGACCTGGAGATCTCACGTGCTCACGTCCCGACCATCCAGCTCCCAATACTCCAACGAAGCCTACGACTACCCTCCCAACATCCGTGAATCCTTCAACGACCTCGGCCGCACGATCAACGAGAAGGTCTCGCTTCTTTCCCAAGCCTCGTCGCCCGCCGAGGCCCAGGCGGCCCTGATCGCCCCTCCCTCGGCCAAGCCCCAGCCCAAGACCTTCAACCACGCCATCGCTCGCGCCTCGCTGGCCGGATCCCAGACCCTGGCGCAATCCGCTCACGGCGAGGACCCCCTGGCCACCGCCCTGGAGAAGTACGCGCTGGCCGAGGAGAAAGTGGGCGAGGCCCGCCTGGCCCAGGATGCTCAGATCCAGTCGCGCTTCCTGGCTGGGTGGAATACCACGCTGAACACGAACCTGATGTTCGCGGCGAAGGCGCGCAAGAACGTCGAGAACGCTCGCCTCATGCTGGACTCGATCAAGGCGGCCAAGAAGGCTCAGGTCAAGGGCGACTGGGACAGTCTGAGCGAGGAGGCTCGCGCCGAGATTGAGCAGGCGGAGGACGAGTTCGTCGGACAGACCGAGGAAGCCGTGAGCGTGATGAAGAATGTATGTTTATATGGCAGTGATTTTGACGGGTGATGGCTGACTATGTAACAGGTTCTCGACACCCCCGAGCCTCTCCGCAACCTGGCCGATTTGATCGCAGCGCAGCTCGAGTTCCACAAGCGGGCCTATGAGATACTCAGCGAGTTGGCTCCTGTCGTGGACGGCTTGCAGGTTGAGCAAGAGGTGAGTGCACGAACTCAGGATGATCTTGGTGCTTGACTGACGCGCATCTCAACACAGGCTAGCTACCGTAAGAGCCGCGAGGGAGCTTGAAATGCAGCTCAAACTGTAAATTTCCTTGTCTCATCGTTTACTTTTGTTGGACTCGCAGCCCTTGTTAATTCAGCCCCTGTTTGCCTTTGTGACAGTGTTCTATATCCCTTGATAGGTGGTTACATCGATCAGATTGACTACACTTTGTATTGTGACTGTAGTTTGAGCTGTAATATATGTTGTTTTAGGCCAACGATGTCTGCCCCAGGCCTCCACAGCGGGCCAGTAGGGCGGTGTGAGCCGGCAGCTGGCAGCTGGCGTCGGAAGCGCTCCGCCGATAACTCACCTCTCTGTCGATAACCATCATCATCCTATCTGTCAGTTTGTCGGTCCCTGCCTGCGACGACAGCCCTTTCTCGCTGTCCTTCGCCTCTCAAATCTCTCGATTGTTTGCATCTCCATTTCCGACTTGGCCTTCCAAACCACTCTTACCTTCCAAGCGTACACAAGACTCCCGCCCTCGCAACAGCGATCCATACCCCTCGAACAATCAAAGTAACCAACAGCACTCCACACCGACAGCGCAACATACAATCCCAGCCCAACCACTCGCCAGCCTCTCTCACCCGGTTTCAACTCATCTCCGAATACCCACCTCGAGACAACAGAGAAAAGCACACAGATAGGCTGGCCCTACGCTGTACGGTACAACAATTGTACATCCATCCACCACAAACGCATTCATCACTCGGGACCTGGTGCTGAACAGCCTCGCCATAGACCCTTTCATCGACCCCCCGGAAGACATCTCACATCCGAAGCGATTATAGTCAAGATGGCGAACGGGTGAGTTACCCGCCGCCCCTCGGGCATCTTCCCCCAACAGTCACAAGCTTGTACTTGGAAGCCCTCGGCAGCAAGCAAGCCTGACTCCCCTTCCATCCACGTCCCCCAATATCCCCTCAACCGAACCACCAAACCACCCACTAACCATTCTTGCCAAAAAAAAATACAGATGGAGCATCATCATCGGCCTCATCGTCGTCGTCATCGCCTCCGTATTGGCGTGGATCTTCAGCCCGAAGGGCGAGAATCAGACGTATGTTCATCGCACCTCCCCCCCCCCACCCCCCTCTCGCCCTCTTTCTTACCACCAAAAGAGAGAAGAGAGAATGGCAATCTATCGGCGGCTAAGACCAAAATCAAACCTAACACTAATATGACCGAAACAGTGTGTTCAGAAGTACCCTGATCCTGTCATTCGTATGCTGTTATCTGATGTGGGGTATGTCTTTCCCCCATTCCCCCATTCCCCCAGGTCTACTGCCCAAAAGCAAAAACTGACGCGATACTCTTTTTCTGTTGTGTCTAGCGATCACGTTCCTCGCGCAGTGGCATCCGCTTATCACGCCTAAGCGGTCGGATATTCGGCCTGATCGCGTGCCCGAGTAGATTCCTCTTTTCTCTTGCGAATCAGGTTGGGGGAGCGGGGATGTGTGAACTTTGTATGATGTGTCGTGGTGGATTGGCAGGGTGACTAGAGGCGTGGTGATATGCTATGGAGGGGGCCCTGGGCTCGTCGTGGCTTGGTGGCGGGGAGGTTTGAATGGGATTATACCCCAGTCAATTTTACAAGGGCTTTTCTCATGTTTCTCGAACCTTTGTATAGTTTAAAGTTTCTTTTTTGATGGCACCGTTGAAGTTTGTTTTGACTTATGCGGATTTGCGAACTGCATCATGATTGTATCCTACATTCTTCTTTCCTTGGGAGAGGGGGTATTATGTACTGTATATGCTGCGTATACCGCAGCGGGGACGGAGGACCCAAGGACAAGCATAGATCTGTTGATGCTTCCCATAAGCCTATATTAAATGACTCCCACCAACCCCAAGATCGCCCTCTGGACTGACCACCGCGCCACCAACCCTGTCACCGCCAACGCCACGGCCCGTAGATACCCGCATCCAAGCAGGATATACAGTGCCTCGATGTTACTCAGTAGCACAAGATGCGAGTCCGCCGCACCCAGAGACAGCAGCGAGCCCATGAGCTCGAAGAACTCGGCGAGATAGCCGGTGGAAACGGACTCTGGCAGTGCGCGGATGACACTGTCCAGGAGGGAGGAGGAGAGTGATGACGATGACGACGATAACGATGATGTGGAGGGGGTTTGCGTGGCTGTTGTGATGGCGGCGGTGATTGTTGCGATCGGTGTGAGGATGCTGTCGAGGGCTGTGGGTGAGACGGTATTGGCACTGCTGCCGATTAGGTCGATGGTAGAGTGCGAAGCGGTGGTCGTGGTGTTCGTGAAAGCATTGCCGCTGCCGTCCGGGCCCCAGATCACGAGGAGGATGGGAAACAGCTTCGCGCAGCTGCTGACAAGGAGGGCGGTGCTGATGGCGGTGGGGCTTGCAGGGGAGGGTGGGGGCAACGGCCTGATATTCATTCCCATGGGGATGTTCATGGCCATGTTTTGGATGGGGGCGGTGGAGGAGCGGCGGAGCGGCGGCGGCGGCGGCGGAGGGGAGTGGGCGGTTGGGGTTTGGGTCTGGGACTCGCTGCCTGTTGTGATAGCGCCAGTGGATGCTGTTGTTGCAACATCGTGGAGAGATGAAGATGAGCCCTGCGGGACGAGCTTAGGTGGGCTGAGAATCGATGCAGTGGGTGTGGCAGTCGGGGAGAGTTGGGAGGCCGGGAAGGACGGTAGCACTGGGGTCCAGGAATGGGAGGTCTCTGTCCCTGTGTTGTTTGTTGTATTGCTCTTCGCGACGTGACCCCGGGGCGTTGGGGCGAGAATCGAAGCAAGGAGACGGATGGTGAGATGATGAGCAAGAGTCGCAAGCGCGTTTAGACTGAGGAAGAAGAGGTATTGGACGATGACGGGGGCGCGCCAAAGGAATGTATCGACGATGGAGGGTGATTTCTCGATGCGGGCCCAGGTGAGGTAGACATCGAATAGGAGCAAGAGAATCCCAAGACGGATGATGGAGCGCTGAGGACGTCAATGAACGAGTTACGAGATTGTTGATAGTGTGGGTGGTCTTACATCGAATTGGTTGTCATAGCCTCCTCCTAATCGATTGAAAAGCAGATGGCGATAGACCTGGTACAATTAGCTTTGGGTCGACTTTGCACAGCAAGGGTCCGTACCTGTGGTTTGATCAGGACAAGATCAATGAAGAGGACGACAAAGTCGTATTCGACATACTTGTCGGCGAAGCGCTGGCAGCGCGGACATTGAGTCAAGCGTACTCCTTTACCCAACGATCGGTCATCAGCACGGCTGTAGGTGCTGTACAGATGAGAGACTGGATATGAGCACTCGATGCAGATGGGCATCGTATCATTTGTATTTGATCATTAAATCATTGTTTATATGAATGCAATATGTTATGAGGACTGAGGGAAGAGAGGAAACGGAAAGGAGAAAGAGTCGACTCCAATCTCGGCGCGGAGATCAAAGGCGGTGAAGGCCTTCTCCGCAGCGGCTGTCCCTGGTTTGTTTACTCCGCATCTCGACTCCAACCTCTTTTCACCCGACATGACAGCTGGATAGTCATTCTATTCTTGCATCCTAGCTGCCTCATGGCTTTTCTATGATTCATTTAGCATTACCATAAGCTAGAGCTTACTTTCCACCTCCGAACTCTTCACATACGCCAGGATATCATTCCGACCACTCGCCAACCGTTCTGGAGTTGTCTTGAACAGCCGTGGAACTCCACTTTCCTCATAAGCTGCCCCATCCACAACCAGCCGTGCGATACCTCGCGCCGACAAGAAAATCTGCGGCATACCATGACCACTATAGCCAGCGATTACAAGCTGACCCGGTTTACCTGGCACATGCCCAACATGCGGTAGAGCATCACTGCTATAACCCATCACTACTCAAACATTAGCCGGACGGCCTCAAGACGCAACAAGCCGACCAACAAGGGCTTACCTCCTGACCATACACGGTCCGTATATGCCCCCGTATTCTCCCAGCCGTGGAAAGTCCGCTGCATGTAGTTGTCAAAGTACCGCGCCGCGGCGTCAACCACCCGGCCATCGTCAGTGTTGTGGTACCAACTGAGAATGTCCTGTTTGTAGAAGGTGGACTTCGCACCGCCCACGATGATACTACCGTCAGGACGCGGGATCAAGTAGTCGTAGTCCCAGGCGTTGAAGCGCAGAGTATACGAGCGGTCCATGGGCACGGCAGGCGGGTTCGGAACCACGATGCGACTGCAGAATCCCCGCACGGGGACGATCTTGTCCCTGTACTGCGGTGCGAGGGCAGCGGTGTATGCATTGGTGGCGAAGATGACTGTCTTGGTGCGAATCGAGCCGCGGTCAGTGGTGAGCGTCCATCGTCCATCAGCATCCCGGTCATCGGAGATCTGCCGTACCGGGGTGTTTGTCTGCAGATTCACCCCGGCGGCAATGGCGAGCCTAAGAAGGTGCATGATAAGCTTGTACGGCCAGAGGCGCCCGGTGCGCTGGCTGAAGCACCCCCGAGCCCCTTTGACACCCGATACCTGCCAAAGTCGACGGATCTAAGCATGCGCATACATACGGGACATAGGATTGCGAAAACTCACAGCTTCAGCAGCATCGAGCCCGGTAAAGCTCACATCTTCGACAGTCTTCACCCCCTTCGCCACCAGCGAATCAAAACCCGCCTTGACCTTGGCGAGCTGGGCTGGGTCAAAGTGCACATCGCAGACGCGGTTCACCTCCATATCGCAATCGATCTTCTCCCTTTCCACCAAGGCCTGCACTGCAGAGACATGTTCCATCTCGAATGCGGCCACTTCGGCCGCCGCCTCGACTCCGTACTCATTGGCCAGGTTGCCGACTCGGCTGTAGACATCGGGCTTGAGATGGCCACCTACGTGCAAACCGCGGGCAGACGGCCACCCCACGAATTAGCGAAAGCTCATGATGCAAAACTACTCCATGAGTGAAGCGTCGTACCGTTGCGTCCGGTAGCCCCCGAGCAAGCCTGTCGTGCCTCAAGGATGACGATGGACGGCTGCTTCTTTCCGCCAGCAGTCGCACGCTCCAAACAATGGTAAGCAGTCGATGCGCCGGCGTAGCCTGCTCCGATGATGGCGATGTCGCAGGTTTCCGGTAGAGTCTTAGTGGAACAATGATTGTCCAAGGGATCGGGCTCCGACCGCCAGAATGAGGACATGCTATTTCCCGCTGGGAATGGAGTGGCCATGGTGGAAGGGATTAGTGGGGAAGGTGTCGGGGATGCTTGAATTGTGATGGAACTATGGAAGTGGACGATAGCTAGAGCGCCTGTTCAACTGATAATTATAGCGCATATTTAGTGCCCTCGAGAGAAGATAAGGAACCTGATATCTCTGGGTACAACTTATGGTATTGGACCGGATCGCCGACAGCTTGCAGCGGGGAAGACTGGAACTAGACATCGTCTCCCTTGCCGTGAGGGGAACACGGGAATATGCATGAGTATTATCAGATTCTTCGATACGTGGAGCTGGCAAACCACTTATCATATAGCAGGCCATCCGTTATCGATAATACTTGGTTCGACAATCTATACTTCCCAACACGGCGTGTTCGACGATATCCGAGTTTTCCACAAGTATTCAGCACGAGACCGGCAGTGCTTCCGAATAATAGCTACGAGTTCGACAGACCGGCTAACCAATTATCTATAAGTCATATACATAGAATGACTTGAGAAGCAAAATCAGCGTATTAGCCATTTTGAGCTTTGGACATGCCCAAAAAACCCTTAAGCCCTAAGTGGCAGTCTGATCCACAATTCTAAGTGATAACCTGTAGGATCTACTACTACATAAAGCATGGAGCACCGGCAGAATCACCTAAAAGACCGCCCTCATCACCGCCCTACCGGCAGAACCTAACGAAACCTCGCAGCAGGAAATCCGCCGTTTCCTCGATTCCACTCCCAGAAAAATAATCCGGGAAACTGTTCAATTTAGGCGGTGGCAGAAAACAAGGTACCAGAGAGCGGGCAGGGTAGAGTGGCAGTACCCAACCCAGCCCAGCCCAGCAAACCGCCCGGCAGAACCTTATCAGACCACAAGGCATTCGGTCTGGCGATGATGGCCTGGGAAACAGTTCGACAGCAGAAAAGAGACTTCTACCGCCTACCTGACCGCTATACTTGCAGAAACTAACCAACCTCGCAGCGAGGAATCTCCAAAATCTCCGGAAATCCAGACAACCAGTCTCCAAAAAATGACCGGGCGGAGTGTTTAGTTTGGGCGGTGGCAGAATATCTCCTGCTAAAGCGGCAACTTACCCGTAGAGCGGCGTAGGGGAACCCCGCCGCCCGCTTCACCGTCTACGCTTATTGTGGCAGAATCCACCCGAAACGAGCCCTGAGGCCGGCAGGTATGTACCAAAACCTATCTATGTATACTGCGCTTGGCGAGGCATGCATACAGGATACATGTTAAAATCTGCTGGAGGGTTGCTACTGTTTAGTATCTCCGGCACTCAGAGTACCTTCTTACTGAATGGAAGTAATGGTGTGCAATGCAAGATTCGTAGTCGCATTACATCTATGGATCCTCGGATCTGAGCCGTCAGTGACTTTGCTCGGTGTGACTTAATTTACATCTTCAAGGTCTCCTTTCAGGTAGACAACGAGTCAACAGCCATCGAACTACATTCTCAAAGCATAGGCTCCTTCCTCTTCTTTCTCAGAAACTCCTCCTGCTCCCTCTGACTCTCTTTCAAATCGAGGAAGAACGCCAGCCCCGCGAAGCTGGCCAGACTCAACGCAAACAGGAAGTAGAATGGCGTGGAGTTGTTGCCCGTCGGCGAGGCGTCGATGATGGCGCTCGACACTAACGGGCCAATGAAGGAGGAGGTCTTGCCGATGATGCTGAACAGACTGAAGAAAAGGAACTCGTGGCCCCGCGGCGTGACCTCGGAGATCATGATCATGGAGTAGCTGTACCACGGGCAAACAAGGAAGCCGTAGTAGACTTGATATACCTAATCCCCAGTAGACCTTGGTCAGCGAGTGCATGGGCGGGCGACCTCGACAGGGCGGAGAAATGTACTTACCCAGATTTCCCAGAGATGGTGGAACCCGAATTTCTGCGTCCAGATGCCAATCATGCCCCAGCCGTCGAGGAGGATAATGGCGATGGCAACAATGTTGAACATGGTTTTGGTGCTCAGGTTGAATCGTCGCTGGACATACCAGAATGTATAGATGCCGACGGCCTGGATATGTTGTTAAGACTTCAGCTGGACCCAAGCATGTATGCACGGTATAAGGGAGTACGAACCTGGGCGGCGATACCAGCCAGCAAGACATATGTCAGCTCAAGAGAATTGTACGACACAATGTTGTTCTGCAAGGTGGAGATAACGGTCACGGTGGTGTTCAGTGAGTCGCCGAGGAGGAAGTAGCCTAGGAGTGTACTGCATTTAGCAAAACACCTTGAGTTCAAAGGTGCAATGAACATACCAACGAGATAAATCAGGCTCTGCTTCAACGTCCAGATATCCTTCAGCGCACGGACAAGCTGTTTCAACCCAGCAACAATGATATTGTTCCCCTCCGGATCCTGACCCGGCCGGCGCTTCTCCAACACGAACCATGGTATCGATACCAGCAGCCAGACGCCACTGGCGAAGGCGATCAGAACGCTCAACCCCCAGTTGTTGTTCGCTTCGCTCGCATTGACGTGCAAGGCGAACATGATGCCGACAATAATGGCGAGAATGACTAGCTCGCTGACCGACTGCACGTAGAAGGCCACATTGGACAGCTGGGTGCGCTTCATCGAGTCCGCATGATCATACTCCTCCCGCGAGATGCGCCCCGCGGAATATTCCTCCGCCGCATCGCGCATCTCGACCGTGTTCCTGGCGAGGCCCGGGAACGCCGCCGTCCAGAAGGTGAGCGTCGTCTGATACGCGATCAGCCCGACGATGTACAACCCCACGCCGACGCTCCACCTGTCCGCCTCGTGGACCGCCAGCCACGCAAAGCCGATCGCCCACGCGACGATCGACAGCACGATCAGGATGTTCGGCCGCCAGTTCCCAAAGTCGGCGAAACTGCCGATGGCCAGGAAGACGACCACCTGGATCGCAAACGAGATGCCGTTGCAGAGGAGGACGATACTGTTAACCGACCGCTGGCGGCCGGCGAAATCCAACGTTCCCCGATCGCCTGCGGCTTGCGATAAGAGATTCTGGAACGCCGTGGGGGCAAAGTCTGCGATCGTGCATCGCTGTTAGCCTCACGACTCGAGGGGATTGTTTTTCTGCCGAAATTCGTGCAGATACCATCTGTAGCGCCAGTGGGGGGAAAGAGAGAGTCTCACTGAACAAGGATAACCCATTGTTACCGATATAGTAACTAAAAAAGTGGTCCGGAGGATTTGTTTAGCAATCATTTCGCCAGGAGATCATACTCCACGCACGCATAATAGGCCCAAATCTCCCATCTTGTCGTGCGATACTGAGCGTCGAACGAGTCGGGAGCTCGCTGCTGCTCTTGTTCGCCGCCGCTGTCTGTAGGACTGTCTTGTAGTTCATGGACGATGTCAACATTAATCGGCTTCAGTCCATGCTTCAACGATGAATCGTCAACGGGAACACCTGTTGAAGCCATTTGCGGGTTTTTTCCCCCTTCTTTTTTTTCTTTTGCGATTTTCAATCGCAGGACGAAGATTTCTGTCTTTTCAATGCGCTAGAGAATAGTGCGCTCTGTAGGGAATTTATACGGGCGACTGACTGGCTGGAGGGACTGGAACCCCGCGTCTAAGATCGTCAAGCGTGATAAGAGCAGATAAGGTGATTGGCACGGTCGAGGGTAACGAGTAAGTCAGCGGAGGATTTTAAGTGGATTCGTGGTGTCTTGTTTAGGCTTTTTTACCCCCTCTCGAGGCCAACGACCAAGCTGGGAGGCAACTTGACTGTAGGTGTGCTGAAGGATCGGACCAATTGAGCATAACAAGCATCGAAGAGAAGAGTTTGCGCAGATGCGAAGGCACTAATGATATTTCGTCCATTCAGTTGAAATTTGCCTCCCGCAGAATTCGTCAAAGAACAAGGATGGATGCAGTGGAAAACCTAGGCGATGGCGAGTTGTTGCGATCGCATTGCGAGTGGTTACATTCTGGTGGGCGCTCATGCACAAACATTTCCGTTTTCAGGCAGCCACTCCCCGGGGTCTTCACGTTTGCATGGGTGCATGGCAGCCAATCTTGGGCGATCGATGTGGTCAAATCATATTGTTCGAGTCTAGACCGGCTATTATCTACACTATATAATCGCATCTATGCATCTGAGTACGAGGTCTGGTCTGTACAGTACGCCACGCGAGTAGCCCCGAAGAAAAAGAAAACTGACTGCCTCCTCCTGCCCCACGCACTCATCACAGCTTGGCCTGTCCACTTTCTATAGATGACCAGCTCTTCTCATCGAGCTTCTTGTACTGGGTGCCATCCAGCCAGTACAGTTTGTCACCGTCCCAGTCCGTCCGTGGGTCCCATCCCTTCTTGGTCAGAGCGCCTTTGGCTTGCTTGAACGTAACTCCGGTTTCCACCCTGGCAGAATGTCAGCGGCTACTCCCTGCTTTCAATGAACTTGGAATAACAGCGGGAAGCTTACTTCTGTGTGAGCCGAATTAGCCGAGGGAAGGCATAAGACGGCACTCCCCTCTTCTTCAACTCGGGATAGAGGTTGGCCATGACTTCTGTCTCGGTGGCAGGTGAAGCATCCTCGAGTGTGATACCCGCAGCACCAGCTTGGCCGTCATACCTAGTAAGAACCACTCGTCAGCATGGAAGCACATTCAGATTGAGGATATGGCCTTCGCCCCGGGAATACAATGACATACGCGCTCAGCTTCACACCGTATACCACGGCATCGTGAATGCCCGGAAGCCGGCAGATGTGATCTCGAATCTCGCCTGCACTCACGTTCTCGCCCTTCCAGCGGAACGTGTCGCCCACGCGGTCTTGGAACCTTACCCAGCCGTCATGATCCCGAACCACCAGATCGCCGGTGCGTTGAAACAGATCCCCTTTCTCGAACACATCGCGCAGCAACTTCTTCTCCGTGGCTTCATCGTTGTGGAGGTATTCGGTGAGGAGCCCGCGGCTCTTCACCCGCCCGATCGCCTCTCCTTCTTCGCTAAGTCTGGCTTTCACGCAGAAGCCTGTCTTAGGATCACGGTAGGGCATTTCGGTCTCCCTGTCATACTTGACAATATAGGTATCGTTTTCCATCACACGCTTGATGAAGCCCGAATGTCCAACCTTGCCGGCGGCCCACGCGCCCTCTCCAAAATTATCAAATTTGGCCACGCCCTCTGTGGATCTATAGAATTCGCGGATCTCAGGCACGCCGAATCGTTGGCGGAAACGCTCCCAGATCTCTCCACGCAAACCATTGCCATTGGCGACTATGCAGGCATGGTTGCGGTCGTAAGGGGAAGGAGGTGTTGATAGGAGATACCGACAGAGTTCACCGATGTATAGAATGCGTGTGGCCCGCGAATCATGCACGTCCTTCCAGAATTGCGAGGCGGAGAACTTGCGCCGGAGGCAGAGCGTACCGGCATTTCCAACGGAATAACAGATACCAGTAAAGTACGCAGTTCCATGGAAGAGGGGAAGGGAGGAGTAAGTCCGCAGAGGATAGTACTTGGAGCGGTTGTTGATGTCGACCGTCTGGGGGTTGGATGTGATTAGCCCCATCATGTTGCGAATAGCGCAAGCTTTGGGCTTGCCCGTGGTACCCGAGGTGTAGATGAGTGCGCTCAGGTCACTAGGAGATCTCTTAGCAGCGAGCAACCCCGTTGGAGTAAATTGCTGCAAGTCTGCTGATGTGATAAGTTCTGCTGTACCAGAAGAAACCCCTTCGAAGGATGTCAGGTTGAAGGCGAGGTGTGGCAAATCCGAGCAGACATGTTGCGACAAATCGGGTGTTGATACAATGAACTTGCTGCCGGAGACACTGAGACAGTGAGTGAAGGTGTCATCTGCTCGGTTTCAATCAGCCCTAGCTTCGATCAAGCGTTCTCATCGCGCATCCTTACCGCGCAGATTTGTGTTGATGAGAGCAGCAACAGCCCCGAGTTTCGAGAGTGCGTAGATGGTCACGACCATCTCCGGGGAATTGGTGGTGAAGACGCCCACGAAGTCTCCCGGGCCTATACTCCTGGCGTGAAGAAGAGCGGCGAATCGATCAACCACTGTCGCATAAGGTTAGCTGGACCGAAGCACCTCGGTGACAATGGTTGGGCTCACATACAATTTTTCAATTGTGCATATGTCCATGTCTTGTTCTCAAACCAAAGTGCCTCGTCTGCGCCATGACCTTCCACTTCAACGACTCGTTCGAGCATCTTGTAGATGGTGGCCGTATCGCCTAGCTGCGCAATGCGTTGACCCAAACGATTTGTCCATGATCTATCTTTGTACAGAGCCGAGATATCACTGGCAATGGAGTATTTGGCATTGAGGTATGCACCTGCCGCGACAGAGAGGGTAGATGCGATAGCAAGAGAAGATGTGCTTATCTCCGAGAAGAGCTCCATGATGACGGTTATTTTCCCCAGCCTTGGTAGTTTGGGGTGTGTGGATGTGTATGATAGAGACTCGGACAGTGACCGCTGCAATGGATGGTTTTAGAGGCTATGTATCAATGACACGGGCCTCAATTGCATCGGAACAGTCCAGTTATCTAAGAAAAACAACATCAGAAAGTCAAGATCCGGGGTAGTTAACAGTTAAAGGCATCCGAATGACGAATGGGGCTATTAGAAAGTTCGGAATCTGGGGTCGGGAGACAAACAGCTGGGAACTGCCGTTCGCCTGTACGGCGGTACTGTAACTAACTATTCCAGAGTTAGTTTATCGAAGCAACCGTTACAGAACGAGGCGGTAATTAAAAGTCCAGTCGCATCCATGCAGGCTAGGTTATCGATGTTATCGATAACTTCCCCCCACTTGTCCATGGACACGTCTGCTGCAGATTCGGAGCGATAGATAGTCGTGCTTTGTATGGAATCATGTTAGTCTAAATTGATTTGACTGTTTGACTGCAGTGCGAGTATGGCTCTATTCCGTCCAGCAGCGAGGAGGGAGTTTCTGCATATGAGCCAGAGAGTAGACTTCAGTTCCATCGTCTTGAATGGTTTAGTGATTGATCATCAACTGTCCGCTCAGCGTCGGACCGTCGGGGTCAGGGCATGTTGCCAAAGTCGCCCTCTTCTATTCGAATATCATCAACTGCCATGACAAATACCGTGCACAATTTTGCTGCACGTGGTATCTAACAAGATACCCTTGAAACTTGACCCGCAACTGACAGGGTGCGCGGGGAGGACTCAGAGAAGAATTCTTAATAAGAATGGAAATCCGGAGAGGAGACAAGCCAAGATTGCGGAGGGACCGACAACCGACTGAGCCGAGGCCGACGGGACTTACCGTATCTTACCCATCTTACCATTCTTACCATTCTTACCAATCTTACCAATCTTACCACCGTCTACAGCGAACCACTCACACCTCGGCTTGAAATGCGTATCGGCTTTCTGAACTGCCTCGATGCTCACCCGACCTTTCCATGGATCGTATCACAGACCAACTCACACCTGTACGTAAAAGGTTGGCGGAGAAAACCTCATGAGGGGGGCAAGGTGGATACACTCGATACAGCAGACCCGCTCGATCGGCATTGCAAGACTGGTCGCTCCCACTCCCTAACCCGATCTCGGCTCGGCTGCTTTTCTGCATCTGGCGTTCCCTGTGGTTGCTGGAGCCGCGGCTGTTTGTCTGGCGGCGGTTTGCCCCAGCTTAATAAAACAATCCCAACTCCTAGGGATAAGTGCCTGAATCACCTTTCTATTGTTTCTTTGCGCTGACTTCTGGCTTTCATACATCTACCGCAACCTCTAACAGTCTGGCAAAGAATCTCTTTGATCTTCAGCGGGAAAGGAGAAAGACATAGAACTAGCACAATGTCTTCCCCTCAGCAACGGTTATCTTCGATCGCAAACCAGCTTGCCAGCCCGGCAGCTGCCTCTGCCAGGCAGAAGCTTCTGTCCCAGAACCCTGACGATATTGTATGAAACTACAACAACCTATCGCGATCTGGGGTTTACACTGGAGCTGACTTGAGATTCTTAGGTGATCACATTTGCCGCCAGAACCGCCCTCACAAAAGCCAGAAAGGGCGGGCTTAAGGACACCACACTTGACAACCTTTTGATCTCGTTGCTCACAGTATGTTGCCTGTGTCTGCTTGCACCACTTGCCCGTCAGCTGACCGCATCCTTCATTAGTCTATCCGCGAAAAATCTAAACTGGACCCCAATCTCGTTGAAGATGTTTGTGTCGGAAATGTCTTGTGCCCCGGTTCCGCCTATGTCGCACGCTCTGCAGTATTGGCTGCAGGATTTCCAGTAACTGCAGCTGCTTCTGTTGCCAACCGTTTCTGTTCTTCTGGATTGCTGGCCATCCAGAATATTGCCAACCAGATCATCGCTGGATCCATTGACGTCGGCATTGCGGTTGGAGCGGAGAGCATGAGCACCAATGCTGACGGAGGCGCGCCTGAGATGTCCTCCCAGGTCATTTCGCACCCCATTGCTTCCCAAAATGCACAGCCCATGGGTCAAACATCCGAGAACGTCGCCGCCCAATTCAACATCTCCCGTGAGCAGCACGACCAATTTGCGGCAAAGAGCTACCAGAAAGCCGAGCACGCTCAGAAGTCAGGCTGGTTTGAGGACGAGATTGTCCCCGTCAAGACTCAAATCAAGGACCCCAAAACTGGTGAGGTGAAGGATATCATCGTTGATCGCGATGATGGTATTCGATATGGCACGACTGCGGAGTCGCTGGGCAAGATTCGCTCCGCCTTTCCCCAATGGAAGCCCAGCGCTACCACGGGTGGAAACGCTAGTCAGATTACCGATGGTGCCGCGGGTCTGATTCTTATGAAGCGTTCCCGCGCCCAAGAACTCGGTCAACCCATTGTGGCCAAGTTCTGCGGCGCCACCGTGGCGGGCCTGGAGCCCAGAATCATGGGCATTGGACCATCCATCGCCATCCCCAAGATCCTTTCCAAGTTCGGGTTGTCCAAGGAGGAGGTTGACATCTTCGAGATCAACGAGGCTTTCGCATCGATGGTACGGGCGCTTCCACTCTATAAGAGCACAATCAACGACTAACTTTCCACATAGGGCACGTATTGTGTGCAGAAGCTAGCCTTGGACGAGGCCAAAGTCAATCCTCGAGGTGGTGCTATGTAAGTCTTCGTGGTTTTTCTCCGATGCATCAGCTGCTAATCAATCTTAGTGCTTTCGGTCACCCCCTGGGCTGCACTGGAGCTCGCCAAGTCGTCACCGCCCTCTCAGAGCTGCGCCGACAAAATAAGAGAGTCGCAGTGACCTCGATGTGTGTCGGAACTGTAAGTTTGTCCCAAGTCAAGTGGCTGATCACCGCTCAATGCTGACCGAGGGTTTCATTGTAGGGCATGGGAATGGCGGGCATCTTCGTCTCCGAGCATTAAAGCAGAGTTTGAACCTGTAAATAGCTATATTATGATTAATACATTGAATACATAAGTCTCAAAGGCTCAAGCGTGCAGTCATTATCTGTATGTTGGTCAATCATGAAAGTTTAGTATTGCGGAGATTGATGTACAAGGCATATGCGTAAACGATAAGCTGCGCCCTCTGGGGCGATGGGTGGTGGGTCAATAGCCCCAGATTGAGTATCTTAATTCCATAGCAAGTGGTCCTCACTACAGTAGACTTGAAGAAAGCATCAAGGATTGCAAAAATACCAGCAGCTCGAGAATTTGGATTGAATTCAAATAGATCGACCATGCATTCATTCTAATAACAGTACGTAAGGACTGGAAAGGGCGCAGGCACCATCACGTGGGTTTTCCCCCAGCCGTCGTCATCGGCGGCTGCCAAGCCAGGTACGTCCCATGACACCGCTCTTCGTCTCCTCCATTTCGCCTCCTCACCGTGCATCACTTTGCTTCCCAATAAGCTCCTCTGCTCGAGATCTATACAGCGTATACACTATCCTCACCCGCCCACTTCGTTCACAGCGCCCACATCGCGCTCACTTATCAGGACACAACACGCCACATTCCCTCAAGTCTTGCAACCATGAAGTTCTTATCTACTGCCGCCGCAGTCCTCCTCAGCGTCGCTCCCTTCGCCGTTACCGCTCGGTCAATCGACTTCTTCAACTCGCAGTCTCCAATCAGTACCAATGGAATCCCTGTCAAAGGCGACAATCCCTTAGAATACTGCGCCAATCCTTCTGGCGACGTTCTCGAAATCAAGAAAGTCGACTTGTCCCCGAATCCTCCTCTTCCGTACGTCGTACTGCGATATAGCCGCTTGTCATCTCCGTGATATTCGTCGCTAACCTTTCGCAGTGGCCGTACTCTTACGATCGAGGCCAGTGGCACATTGAAGGAGCCGGTCGAGAAGGGTGCTTACGTTCTGCTCGAGGTCAAATACGGTCTGATTACTCTGATCAGGCAGAAGGCCGATCTCTGCGATCAACTTACCAATGTTGATCTCGAATGCCCGTTGAACAAGGGCGATCTGGTCCTGAGAAAACAGGTTGACCTGCCTAGTCAGATCCCTCCGGTACGTTTCACAACCATGGAGAAACTAACTGCTACGAATCGGAACTGACCTACGGCGCCAATTGTATAGGGCAAATACACGGTCCATGCCGATGTCATGTCTGTGGATGATGAGCGGATTACCTGCCTCGAAGCCCATAACATTGAGTTCAAGAGGGGCTCTCTCTTTTAAATGTCAAGAGCATATTTTGAGATGCTCACCACTCATCTTATGATGCATAAGAGTTGTGGATCGTGCTAAATGTCTACGGGCTTCTTTGCCGATCATGATCATCTGTTTTGCGAGCTTAAATCCGTCTTGTGACCTCCTTATGTTTTGAGTCAGGTTATTATGTCCACTTATTCTGCTTGTTGTTGACCAGTGCTCCATTAGCTAGTGTTTTACGCTTCACGATCATTACTACTCGGCCTCCTCGCCTGCGTTCTCTTATTTATGGCGTTCTGGAGCATTTGCTCAGAGACTAGCATACTGTCATATTGTTCACGACCGTTCACCGTTGGGCCTCCTGTCACCATAGTACTAATAGCATGTGTACCAAGATCAAATGAGCAGACTTTGTCTGCTAGTGTATCAAAGATCAAACTGCTAAACCCCCTATCCAGAGTTAACACTGTGCATGGAGACTGGTATGTGAAAAATAATACCATTAGACAGGTTCCGAATATCAGCTACGCTCTTGCAACATTGACAGGTGAGGTGTAATTCTATGAACAAATATCATGGGTATCTTTCTCCCGCGCTGGGACCATTCGTTCTCCATAATAGTGCGGGAGCGACCAGGTAAAGGAGCAACAGATAGCAAGGGAAGCGTATGCAGCACCGTCGGCAGAGAATCCAGTCTTGTGTTGATTGCGCCTAGTGGACAATCTCCTGCCCCTCCTGTCCCTGATTTACTCTCCAAAGAGTCGGCGCACCCGCTTCAACACGCTATCCTTCTCGGGGTCGTAGGGATGATCCTTGCTGGGGATCTCGAGGACCGCGGGGAAAGCCTCGGCATATGAATCGACGGCGTGGCGGATGCGCTCCGCGATCTGGGTATGGGTTGTCAATACCTGTGGATTTCCAGCGACCAGGCATCGCTATTGAATGTTGTGCGAATGTCACACACACACTGTTCATCACGTACATGTTGGTTGATGAGCAGGACGGCGATGTCCTGTCGCTCCTGCGTGAAGCTGTGGAATGCTTTTTCGATAGCAGAGGTTTCTGTCTTCGAGTCTACCACAAGAAAGTTTCGTTGCGCGTCCGGCCCATCTGTGACGTGCTTCAACGGAGGGTCAGTTGTTGCTGGCCACATGCTACCAATGTTCGGCGGATACTTCGAGGGGTAACACGTACACCGATACCCGCGAGGAGAAGTCCAGTTACGGAGCTGCACATTGAGGACCCGGTCAGTCGCAGTGACTTGAAAGTATTAGATGAGAGGTAGGGACTTTACTCTTCATCGCCGATGACAGCAAGGAACTGCCGTTCCTATCGGGCCGTTGGAGGTCAGTATGCGGGCCAGCTCAAGCAACAAAGCGGGGGTGCTGTAATGGGGGTTTACCTTGTAGGAGACGGCGGCGGCCGACATGGTGTTATCGTGGAGAGGAGGATGTGGAAAGATGGACTCGCTCGACCGGAATTGTCTGGCGTTGCGAAGGATCCAAGTAAGGCCCGCGGAAACAAACGCACAGCTGGCCCCGTAAGTTGAGTCTCGATCCCGATAAGTTCAATCCATCGGACGTCGTCATACTAAGTTAAGCCCCGGTGTCTGCTTATCTAAGCGGGGCCGGCCGCTAACTCACTTATCCCTCATTGTTGTTTACAACCGGGAGGAAAACTTGCGGCTTCTACTCAATCATCTTATCACGAGCTTGGTTCCTCAATAAGTTCCCGTCTACAGCTACTCTCTCCTAGACATATGTCTAGCTAGCTTGCTTCTCACTTCCAATAATATCCCCCATTACCTAGCTGCCTTGCCGTCCCCGCCATGCCCCGGCTAGTGCGCCGCCGCCCGTTGACGGAGCGCATCGCATCCTACCTGAACCCTTTAGACTTTCTATTGTGGCTATCCGAGGAATTCGACACTCATGACTGGGATCAGTTCGAGAAAGATTGGGCATTGCCGCTCGGTGTGCTCCTGAACCTGACTTTTCTCGTGGCCCGAGCCAACAGTCAAACAACAGGCAGTCAAGCTATAGATGATGTGTTTGGCGACGATGAGAACACACCTTGGCTGAGCTGGTTGGTACGTGCTATCCCCCCATATGGCTCGAACTTGAACAGCGGCGCTCACCTGTTCATCGATAGACCTCTTTTCTTGTACACTTCCTTACGTTATTCTCCGCCCTTAATGCTTTCTATACATTTTATCGGAAACGCCTTTATCGTCTCTTCGAAGCCTCGATTGATCGCGCCCCCGCAACACCATCGGCGCACCGTGTGCGAGTCGACTCAACGCCTGCCACTGCGTCCCCTTTGCGGTACTTGGCCGACGCAATGTCTGGATCGGCACAATCGAGAGCGCATCCAGATGCTCAACGCGATGTTTGGGAGCTTGCTGTCTGGGACCCTCTCCCTCTTTGCATTCGCCTGTTCTGCCTGTTCAGCCCCGGCCATGTTCTAGTCTATTGGTTATTCCTACCGACTCATGTGTCTGATCCTCGCCCCAGCGTTACCATTGTGACCACTCTTTTCCTGGCAGCTCTGCTTTCAGTGCAGATGATATTCCTGTCCTCATCTTACACGCAGCAGGCGAAGGACAACATGCTAGTCCATAAAGAGGTTCTCCGCGAGTATGATACCAAATATGTGCATCCTCGGACCCAGCCTCTGATGAGGGATGTTGGAACTCAATTCTCTGAGTCTGATACCGACATCAAGCACAACAAGGTCGACACATTCACGCCAACTTTCGTCATTAACCGAGGATTCAAGACAAGTCCAAACCCTAACTATATCAAACATATCGACCCTGAAGGATTCTCGTCAGGACAGCAATCCGCAGCGGGTACACCTAGTGGTCCCACATATCGTTCAAGTGCCCTTCAAACCCCCAGTCATTTGCGCGATGCTTCTCCAGTTGTCCGCAACCCAGTTGTATCCATTCGGCAGCCTCAATTCCGACGAACACCAACCACTACAGGCGATGGGGGCAGCCTTGGGGTTTATTCTCACGCCAATTCTCCACTGAGGAAGTCGGTCTCGGCGAATCTAGACCGCCGACTTCAAAGTAACGGGGACTTTTTCTACAAAGAGCGTGGTACAAGCGCAGTGAAGAGGCAGTCCAGTCCACTCAAACGAAGCAATGTGCCCGGGGGAGAAAATCCAGCCACGCCAGGCCCCAGGCGGAGCCAACCTGGCGCACGCCGTGAAACAACTCATTTCTTGTTGTAAGCATTCGATATACGCCCAACCCTCACTTGACCAGGTTGGTAGCAAAAAGTGTTTCTTGTACAAACCATATCAACAACTTTCGCCATGGCTCATCCTCGTGACTTTGCATTCTTCAAGCATCAAGTACGGCGTTCAGTGCGCTCATCTGATTTTATTTGTCCTTATTATTTTTCCTTTTTTCTGAGATCAGGTCTTCTCAGGCGGCGTTGAAGATTTCCAGTCATTTTCGGGAATGGAGTTGCCGATAACCAGCCACTGTACAATATGCTTTTTGATCATCCGCAATTATGAATACCGTTTGTTCCTTGGCCTTATCGTGTTTTTCTTGAGTTAAGATCACTTTGACTTGTTTGGAAGCGAAGGTTGTATGACTACTCCGTTGAACTCCACTTGATCACTTGATGGGTGTCCGGGCTATCGAGTTTTCGTCGTTTCTGCAAATTGCTTCTCAATGCGACCAGCAGGAAGCATACTGAAACTCGGACCTGCGTGCGGCTTCCATGCCAAGTGGTATCAGAAGTCTGAGCTGCGCATTCCGCATTGGTCAGCCCCCCACCCCTGCCTCTGTATTCACACATTCTTCAGTGAGGCGAGCCTTGGCCATCCAACATTCCACCCATATCATTATGCCTGTTATCCCTTAGCATTTCCTCAGCAGAACGCGTCTAGTACTGGTTTCCCAGCCTTTCCCGCATGATGTTCGCCTGGCTCCGTCGAGCCTCGTTTTCGTCCAGCACATCGTACTGTACACCTTACCGCACACGAGTCCTCGCACAGCTCCCGAATCAACGATATCGCCATCAAATCCAGTTCAGAGGGAATGGGTCGGTGTATTGATGCAGCCTGAAGCTGCTGGTGTTCCTCTGATTGAGCAGCGGTCGAAGATGGAACACTCCCTCCACCTACCGAACAGCGATAACATGCTGCACTTTCGAAATCCCCGTGGCAAGCGCACAAGACCCCATGACGCAGCAAAACCCCCAGCACAAGCCACAGGGCTCTCAGGTCGGCGAATCGAACAATCTACACCGTCGACGACCGAAGACCCGAAGACCATGACAGACAACGCCGTGCGGAGAATCAAACCCACCAAGCTCCCACTCCCCATATCCCCCGTCGACAAGACCAAAGAATCTGCTGGAACGCGACTTGCTGTAATCGAAACCAAGGAACAAGAAAGCGATCGAACTATTCGTCCAAAGAGATCTCTGGGGGCGTTGTCACTTGCTGCGCCTAAGCAGCCCGAGAAAGGCGGCGATCAATACTGGCGCAAAGTGCGAGACAGGTTTGAGAGGGAAATACCAGCTCCGTTGCGCAGTAAAGAGAAGCACAAGGAATACTATCAAGAGGCATATCGGAAGATTGTGTCATTGGCTACTTCACCCAGGCAAGAGATTGCTAACTACAAGTTGAAATTAACGGGAGGTATACCTCGGGATGACAAGTTGCATACACGCCCCGTCGGCTTGCGGAAAGATGTTCCAAACCTACACCTTGACAATCGACCTCCCCCAGGAACAAGCTTCTGGAGATCTGAGACTACTCAAGCCGTCGGTCAAAGAAAACGTCCAATTACTGGAGAACGAGGGCCGAGTTTGCCGACCACTGAGACCACACAGCCAACGACATCCGAGAAAACAGATGTAACGACCGACTCATCCGACCAGTCATATCCGATATCACCAATTTCAGCACCTGCAAGTTCCGTGACCGACTGGGAGGATCGGTTTGTTGTGAACATGCCGTCAGCAAGAGAGCCCAATCCTTTGCATTTGAATGCACAGCAGATTTCCAAATTCCAGCAGAGCATCGAGAGGGTTCACAAGGAGGGTGGAACAATGCTCGATCCTGAGACGCTTCCAAGCCCCCGTACCACCACTCCTGAGGACAAGCCCAATCCTACCGACCAACGCGAGAAGAAACTGATTGGTTTAGACGGCCAGGAGCCGAGTCCTGATCCACCTTCTTATGAGAAGAACGATGACGAATGCGCTGGTGAACCACCTCGTTATTATAGTCCTGATGAGATTGGAAAGCCACGGTTCAGCACGATTTGGGAAGAGTCACCTGGGCAGTCGACCAACACGCCTTTTGCGGCGAATGCCGACGGCTCTTTTTTAGGATGCAAGGAGATCAACGGACCGAACGACAAGAACCCGGACGAGATTTTGCTTTTTTCGACCACGGACGAGCGCCCCAGGGTAATCGATATTCCAGGCCCCAAATCCAAGATACCCCGAGAGGGAAGAAGAGCCACGACACATGCCCTCACAGCAGCAGCTCAAGAAAAGGCGCCCCCTCAGCAAGATCGAAACCCAATTTTACAGAATTCGAACCCTGCCCAATGCTCGAAGCAGTTGCCAAAGACGATGTGCAAGGACGCAAATTGTCGACTGCCCCAGAAGTCAGAAAATCTTTCGAAAGAAAATGTTTCGAAACCGCCTTTGAAAGAAAACCGGGTACCTCAGGGAAACACGACGACAAAGTCTCACGAACAAAAGCCACCCCGCAAGTCCGACGATGTATTCATTATCACACCCACTATCACACGCACTATGGTTACCATGACAGACCTGAGGGCTCATGCTCAAAAGACTCCGAGCACACAGGAACCCACATCTCGAGCCGCAGGAGAGATCATCACAGGCACACGGACAAAGTCCCAGGCAGGCTCGTCCGCAGCAGGCCTGCGGCGAGTGACGCAAAACTCGTGGGAAAGGCAGAATCCAATTTGCACACCATCCTCCAAACCGACCTCTCCCAACCCAGTAAGCCCGAAGACAACATCACCAACACAGATACCCACTATCAAATCTCGGGGCATAGAACCCGAGCGCCGAACGTCGGACAAGCCAAGGCCTATACGTGGATTCATCCGTACATCCGGGGCGTCAAAGGCTACAATAGAAGGCCCGAGCAGTCTTCCGCGAAGTAATCCTCCACAGAATCACCCACCTTGCCTGGCACCTGGGAGTGGAAACACACCGCCCATGGTATCACGAAGCGTGTTCGAGCCCGCCCCTGACCTGAAGAAATCATTGGTGCAAGACAATGCGGCCCAGGTGGCAAGCTCATCAGCTGTTCCAGATGTATCGCCCTATATCGGGACTACATCCTCTGGCCCCGAAATCTCTCCCCAAAATTCTATCAGTCGAGACGGATCGGAGGAGGGGCTCTCACCTCGCGAACTCCTGAGCTTCGAAGTGGCTGAACTAGACGGACAGCAGGTTTATGAGACACCTCGAGAAGAAGGGGTATTTCATTTCAATGTCACGGACTTCAATGCTGATATCCTAGGGGACCCAGCGAAGCAATCCGAGGGCGGCACGAAACGGCCCGAAAGCACGGAGGATCCAACCGACGACGACGATCAGCCAATCTGGACTCTTATCAAAGACGCCATCATAGACTCTGCAGTACAGCTCCAGCAACTCTACAGCCAAGTGATGGTGAATCGCGACAACAAAGCGATGCTGGTCCGCATTGCCTTTAACAGCATGCTCATGATGATCGAGCATTGCCTCCTCGTGCTCAAGAATTTCCTAGCATTCCTCTCCCTCTACAACTCCACCGGTGCCTGGCCCAAACCGTCCCGCAAGGACCTCGTCCGCTCGCTGATCGACCATTGCCAGGCCGCGCTGTACATTGTTACCCTGGGATTCTGCATGATGATAATCGGTCGAGCAGCTGGGTACGTCGTCCTCGTGAGTACATGGGTCATTTGGTTCGCGAAACCGTTTGCGTGGTTCTTCGGCGCCCTGGGTCGGGCACTGTGTTGAGGGAGTCATCCGGGCTTGGCTTGTACTATATGCTGTTATATTGGACAGACAATACCGGGCGGTAGTTGGTCTTTTCCCGCGGTCTCAAGGCGTCATGGGTGTGTTTTGGCGGGGGGAGTGATTAGAAGCGCCGGCGATGTGCTTTTTCTTTTTCCTTTGGGATTGCTTTGTATGCGGTTTGGCCAGTGTGTCTAGAACGGATTCCGTCTGTTAGAGTGGGTGACACGGTCGGTTTGTGTCACGTTCACGGGTTACGAGATTTCCTCCCCGTTCCGTTCGTTCTGCTGCCATTCTTCTTTGCCACTACTCGACGATGTCATTTATATCCTCCGAATATGAACAAACTCCTTCATGCTGCTGCTGGCCGCATCTTGTTGTAATTCCTGAAACATACTAGGTCAACCGGTTCCGGTGTCCGATCAGTAGGTAGGAACTCTATTGCAGTCTGGGACAGGAACAAGGTGCGCCTGCCATCTGGCAGTTGAGTGAGTCTGTTAGCCTCCTTACCCTATTGACTCAAGTCATCGGTCCTCCTTCTTGCATCAGACAGCTTACTTCCATCCAGATGGCATACTTACTGCATAAAGGCTCTACTATTTCTCGATCGCTGCGAGACAAGCGCTAGCGTTAGTTCCGGGTTTCCAAGCGTAGAGCTTTTCTCTTGCCCGTCTGGGCAAGGGAGGAAGGGCCATTCGTTGTCTACGCGGCGGTGATGAGATACACGGACACAGTTGAGTCGAAATAATTTGTTGATGTGAATGTTATGTTCCAGTCAAGAAGAGAAGGCACAACGCAATGGTGGATATCCTCCCTTCTCGTTACTGTAGTCCAGTCCGAATGAAACAGTCTTCTCCGGATCTCCCACCGGGGCCTCCTCACCCGGTCCTTCCTTCCTTCCTTCCTTCCCCAAGAATGCCATGTCAATTCGGCCACCAACACCCCCGACCACAAGGTGGGCCGAACTCACACAGGCATCACAATCACCACCGCCGCCGCCGCTAGATGTGAAAAAGAAAGCACGAGAACTTTTGAACAGCCGAAATCGATCCCTCGCTTGTAAGGGAAAGACGGCAGATAGAATGAGATGAGACGCGAAAAACAGAAAGTGATCGATGGTGGCCAGAACAGTGTATCGTGCGCAGATTGTTGATAGGGGTAAATATAAGAAGCAATGAAAAAGAACCGTTCTTTAGCTTGACTCCGCCTGTATTCTTGCCTTATCCCATGTTGAAGAGGATGCGCTTTTTTTCCCCAAGTTTGGATCCCAACTCCGTTATACCCTACCTTTGTGTTGAATTTTTGATCGTTGCTGTGCGTAAACAAGAAAGTGGAATTTGCCCGCAGAGTCACTGTTTTGCTGACCGGCGCTTTTTGAATGCGATGAAGGTGAAAATGACAAAAAGAGAAGACTGGTGTCTTCCAAAAGCTTCGAGCTCTATCATGAGAAATAGATGAACAGGAATAAACGTTGAGGTTCCATGCTCGATGTGGGAGTTGTTGTGCAAAACGCAAAAAAATGCCATGCGAGGGGTATATGTTAAATATTAAGAGATAATGGTGAGTGAGAAGATAAGATGCCATGTTGAAGTATCATAAGAATCGCTCAGAGAAGAAATCGTTGAGAGGTCTTCAGTTCATGCCGCCGTTAAACGTTTCGTTGAGTTGCTTGTTGTGGCCCGAGTGTTCCTGACTCAGGGCCGCGGGAGTAAGTCGTTGAGAATAGATAGATGTTGAATTAGGTGTAGTTGTAGTCGTCATGTGTTGAAATTAGTAAGTAGTCGTGAGACGGGTTGAAGAGGATGCATGCATATGAGAATGCATAGCACGATCGTAGACTAAGCGTGTGAGGCCGTCAATATGCCTGTTGAAAGGGGCATTGAGAGAGGTAGATCAGAGTATTCTAGTTCTTGACTGGAAGCTCTGTTGTGGTTCCATTCGCAACGGTGCCGTTGGCATATTCGGCCCCATTCGTGACGCCGTTTTGATGAACCTTGGTTTCACCATCCTCGACAGCAATCTCGGTATCGAGATCCTTCACGTTCAAATCCTTGAATAGGTCGAAGAGGCTGCTGGTGTTGTGGAAATCATTGTTCACTGTAGTTTACGTATCAGTACTAGCCACCATATGATGGATGCATGCAGTGCACTTACCAATGTTAACAAGACACCAGTCATCCACGACGCTCTGGATTAACTTTCTGCTTGGGCTGGAGGCATCGTGACATTTGGCCCAATCTTCACCAAGACGGTATGCCTCATCCTTCCAGGCCAAGAAACTGACCGTCTCCACAATGGTAGGCTGGACAATCTCTCGTCCCGCGAAGATACCCCAGGTTAAAGCATTGGGGCTGTCATTGGTGTTAGTCCGCAGGTTCCCATTCTTAGATACAGCGTGGTATGTGAGGTAACCGTTCTTCTCGATGCGGGCAATCAGGTCGTCAAGTAGATAGGACGGAATCAAGAGTTCCAGGTATGCCTTCTGATAGACATAACCGTTCTTGGGACCCCATCCATATACCGGGTGGGAGGATTTCACACCATTCACGGCCGGCTGAGAGTTGATGGTGAAGATACCCTTCTTGTTTAGCTCGATAAGGTCATCCTTAATAGCGTTGGCTTCGGTGGTAATCGGGCTGTCGCTCCAAGGCAGTCGCGCCAACTTGCCTTCCAGGAAGTCGACAAAAATATGGGTAATGTCCCTGATAGACTTAGGCTGTCCCCACAGCTTGATGTTTTGCTCGTTTGTACCCTTGAGACCAATACCATAACTGTCAAGCTCGCCGAACGCAGGCGACCGGGAATCAGTCCAGCGTCCGTTAGGAAATTCATCCCAAGTCTGCGTGCGAGCGATATAGGAAGAATTGCGGTTCCGCCAGAAGATGGGACGAACATCTTCTCCTCTGCGATTGAGACCAAGCGACGGCCGCCAAGGCAGGGCTCTCTGAAGCGGTGTCTCCTCGGACGGTAGAAGGTTGAGATCTTCGAGAACCAATTGTGTTGACTGAGCAAGGTTCATTGTGTAACTGGCAGTGATTGTCAGATCCTATCAGAAAATACATAGGCGAAAAAAGGTGACTCACAAGTGCAGGTGGTTGAGACCGCTCTCGAGGAGCCTTCTACACATGTCCGCGACCAGGCGCTTACCGATGTTCCTCACAGCGGCATCGTCGTTCTTCACAGGCTCGAGGGCCTCCAGCCAGTCAGGCGGAATCCGCGTTTTCGTCCACTCCGATCGTCTGATGAATGCAGCATACGTCTGGATGGGCATAATACCCGGGATAATTGGCACCGCAACGCCCTTGTTCCGACATTTCTTTACCCAGTCAATGAAATTATCCGTGTCGTAGAACATCTGAGTGATCACGAAAGAGGCTCCTGCATCAACTTTCTCTTTGAGGTGATCAATCAAAAGATCAACGTCCGGGTTGTCATCCGCACCCTCGGGGTAACCTCCGACGCCGATATCAAAGTGGTTGCCGTATTTCTCCCTGATGTGCCTCACCAGGTCCTTCGCATAGCGGAATCCGCCGTCGGTGGCTTCCCAATTTTCCTTTTCACGAGGGGGATCTCCACGCAGAGCCAGGATATTGGTGCAGCCAGCCTTGTAAGCGGCCTGGAGTGCAGCATCCACCTTCTCGACGGGCATATCGGTACATGTCAGGTGCATACAAGTTTCCAAGCCATACACCGACTGGGCAACATTGACCATCTCGCAGGTCAAATCGGAGAGGCGGCCGCCAGCTCCCCAGGTGATGTCGATGAAAGAGGGACCTAGAGAGTGCATGCGATCCATTCTGTCGTAAAGGTTCTGGACACCCTGGGCTGTTTTGGGTGGGAAGAACTCGAATGAGATTCCTGGTCTGCCAGCAGCCTCATTCTGAGAAAGCTTCTCTTTGATATGCATGGTGTAAGGTCAACTGTGGGGAAAATGTCTTCAGTCAGAAGGATTGCTGCGGCACAGAGGCGATTCGGGAGGTTATCCTAAAGATTCATGGACAACAGAGAAGGGGAACTGATTCATTCTCGGTTTAATCAACTTACACAGCAAGTTCAAGGTCTATTCCAAGTAGAACGCGCAGACGGAGATATAGCAAGGCACAGGGTGACTCTTCTAAAAATTCCCCTCGAGAGATGGTAGTTACGTTGGCTCTCTGGTTCCACCGGGGATGCCAGACACACGTACAACGGGGACGGAGGAGGCGGGCTACACGAGCAAAGATGGCCTAACAAACCCCCGTGCAATGCGAAAAAAAAAAAATATATAGAGTAGTAAATGAAAGGGGAAGGGGTGTAGGAATAATAAAAAAGGAGGAAAGAGAGAGAGCGAGAGAGAGAGAGAGAGAGAGAGGAGGGGAAGAAGAGAAAGAAAGAAAGTCCGGACTAGTAAATCAGCCAGCGGAAAGCAAGCCAACAGAGCGACGGCGGACGGAGAAGGTGGGGTGGATGGGAAGGTGGACTTGATGGACTTTGATGGACTTTGCTGTGGCCGCGCCGGGGGATATTAGATAATATCACTATTAACACTACACTATTAAGGGTCCGGACTTCGGAGCTGGCCTGCCCACGGCACGTGCTCTCGGTCTCCGGCGCCCACTAAACCACTAACCCACTAACCGGAGAGCCACCGATTCGGAGCCTTTTTTTTCTTCTCAATCATCCATCACTGATGGTTTCATACCCACCGAAGGAAGGGCTCAAGTCTAATAAGCAAGGAGGCCTAACTCCGTCATACTCCTTAGGGAAGAGAGATGCAGATCGCTAGGGAGGGCTATGTCACCGGATTCAACCTATTGCCATAGATGCCTCTCACTTAGACAATGGGATTATCTTCCAGCTCTTCTATGTGTACAAAGTATTTATCTGTCTGTGGATATCTACTGCGTATGGTTTTGTTGAGAAAATTGATCATTAAATGCCGATAAGAAAATCCCCGGAGTCATGAGTAACCACAGTAGTTACTGTACTGTAAGGCCGGCGGCCTCAAAGGCGGTGAGCTCATTGTAGAAAGCGGGCATCTTCACCAAGCGGCAGTAGCACACTCCATCCATATTCACTACATCGTAACTACCACCGGTGACAGACTGTCACTCTAGCTCATAACATAGAATTCATGGTTTGGTCAATTCAGCGGCCAGCCAGCATAGAGTCTGACTTCCCTGTGGCTATCACGGGATTCTTCCTATCATTGGATGCGAAATATCTATTTCTTCCATCCGATCCCACTGCAATATCCAATACGTTGATGTTCATTTTGTTCTCTCACTCGGCTCTCTCGACGGTCCGACTCGGAGAAGAACCGACAACGTGCGGTCCAAAGTGCATCTATGTGTTT